TTTAACCTATCCACTGCTGCTCATTTTTCTGCTGCACTTACTGTTAACATTGAGCTGATGATTGTTGTTGATATCAAGGCTTTATCCTCTAGTTTCATTCAGTTTGCCAGACAGTGTTACAGTCTGTGGCTCCACTAAATCCAGGTCACCCAGAACTAAACTCAAGCCCTGGCTAAATGAGTCTATGCACGCTGCCAGACACAAATGCAAACAAGCCGAGCACAAATGGATAAAAGATAAATTGGAAGTGTTGTGGTCAATTCTAAGAAAGAGCTCTTTATCAGAGCACTGTAAAAACTGAAAGAGGCATGTACTTCTCTAATGTTTTCACAACCCTTGTGTACTTTTTAAGACCATTAACTCTATTTTAAATGTGCAGCAGCCTATATGTTTGGAACCCTCACCAGAGACATGTGTACAGTTTCTTCCTTTTTTTTTTTTTTTTTTTTTTTGTCAATAAGGTTGAAAGCTTTAGAGCACTTTTTATGGCTCCATCCCATGACCCTTCTGTGCATGTTTTAAGTCCTGCTAGTTTTGAGTGGTTTGAGCCTGAGACTCTTCCTCAGCTTAAGAATATTGCTGCTCACATGAAGGCTACAGGTATGATCCGCTACCTTCTCGTCTGTTTAAAGAGGTTTTTGACTCCTTGGCTTCTGCAGTGCATAACATTGTAAACAACAGTTTATCTACCAGTGTTGTTCCTACACATTTTAAACAGGCTGTGGTGAATCCTCTGATAAAGAAACCTGGCCTTGAGTCATCTGTGCTGTCAAATTTCAGACATATTTCTAAGCTTCCTTTTCTCTCAAAAATATTGGAGAAAATAGTTTTTATTCAACTGAAATCAGTTTAAGATGAGCACAATATTTTAGAAACTTATCAGTCTGGATTTAAGAGTCTACACAGCACAGAATCTGCCCTCCTGTGTGTTTTAATGACATATTTGTTTCTACTAATGCTGGTGATTCTGTTGTTCTCATACTGTTGGATCAGACAGCTGCATTCAACACAGTGGACCACGAGATTCTTCACTCCTGGTTGGAGCACTGGGTGGGGTGGTCCAGCCCTGCTATGGTTTACATCATACCTGACTGACGGTGTTACCCTAGGATCAATACTAGGGCCTTTGCTTTTTACCCTTTATATGCTCCCTCTGGGCACCATTTTGAGGAAGCATGGCATCGCATTCCACTGTTACGTTGATGACAGCCAGATCTATCTGCCATTAAAGAAAGAGGATCCACAGTTTGACGAGACCACTTTTAGACTGTATCAGTGACATAAAATCTTGGATGTTCTTTCTGCACTTTAATCAGGAAAAATGTCAAGTTATGGTTTTTGGCCCTAGCTCTTCAAATTCCTCTTTTCCTGCAGAACTGGGTTCATTAAATAATTTAGTGAAGCCAGTTGTTTCAAACTTATGTGTGAAAATAGAACCTGATTTAAAATGTGATCAGCAAATGCATTCATACATCCATTTCATTCATACATTCATTTTTCAGATTGGATTATCATAATGCACTTGGTGTCAGCCAAACTGCACTTTGCCATTTGCAACAGGTCCAAAACTCAGCAACTCGACTTTTAACTGGAACCCGGAAATAGGCGAGCATCTCACCTATGTTAGCCTCTTTCCAATGGCTCCCAGTGTGCTTTAGAGTTGAGTTCAAAATTCTTTTATTTACCTTTAAGTGTTTGCACAGCCTAGCACCCTCCTACCTCACTGACCTGATCCACCCTTATGCCCCCTCTCGCACTCTCAGGTCAGCTCCAGCTTGCCGTCCCAAAGACTAAACGCAACCCACAGGGGGACCGTGCATTTTTTGTTGCTGACCCATGGCTGTGGGACAAGTTGCCATTAGAGATTAGACAGGAGGAGTGCCTGTTTTTATATTACTCTTAAAACGCACCTTTTTCACTGGCTTGTAACAAGTGAGATGTACATTTCTTGTGGTTGAGTATCTTATTGTTTATTCTATGTTTTTAGTAGTTGTATTGTGACTTTGACTGCAATTGTCTTTGTCTGTTCTATGTTTGTGTACAGCACTTTAGCCAGCTGTAAAGTTTATGGAAGTGCTTTATAAATAAAGTTGGCATGGTATGGTATCCAATGTGAGTAATCTGAAAGACATGGTGATTTTACTGTTTACATTTCATGTTAAAAGTCTTGCAACTCTAAACATCAGATGATAATCAGATTTTTAGTGAGCATGTAACCGAACCCAGTGTAATGCAAAATCATTTTTTTTAGTTTTCAACCATGTTATAACATTGTTCACAAAAACATGCCTGAAGCTGTTTTAAATGTCATCTGCACATTTTAGTGATCTTTACTGGGCCCTATTCAAACCCTCCTTATGTTAGCTGAAAGATTCTGTCCAATGCTCAGCCTGCAAGCCTGCATCACCCATGCTCCCACATGACAATTAATATACAAAATATACAATGCACAAAAAACTGTACACAGCAACTAGACAACCTAATGCAAAGTGTAGTAGTTCCATTAGTGGGATGCACACTGATTGTGGTTGGATAGCGCAGTGAAGGGGGAGGGACTGAGAGCGTCAAAAACTAAAGTGAAACTTATAAAATATGTTAATACATTGATTATTATTATTTTTATTTTTTTGGCAAATAAAGCATTTTCAGAACAATAAAAGAAAACATGGTAATCTAAATGTTACAGTGTTAGCAGTAAAACTCTCCTAGAATACGCCAAGTAAAATACCACCAAAAACAAAACATTTTATCTATCTAAACACATTTCTTTTTGTTGTTTTTTTTTTTTTTGCACCAAACAAAAGTAAAACCCAACTTCTTTACTATCTGCTTGCACTGTGTTCCCACTCTCTAAAGCTTTGCTGATGCTGCAGTGGACATGCATGGAGCCACTGTTTGGCTTGGCCCCATGTGAGTGACGTGAGCCGGTCTGAGGAGGCCGGGCTCAGGGGGGTCTGCTCTGACAGGAAACCTCTCACACTAATCCTGTCACTTACTGTAACTGTGTTTCTCTGCTGTGGGCCTGGGACTGCTCGTGCACGCTTCTAACACCATCCTCAGACTCACGTGCACACACATACTGCACACTCTCACATCATACTCAAAGTCACATACTAACATGCACGGTCATAACACTCATACATGTTCACATGCACGCTCATAACATGCACAATCTCACGTGTACACTCATACTGCACCCTCAGACTCACGTGCATGCTCATGCCACACACTTAGACTCACGTGCATGCGTAACACATGCATGTCAGTTTCTACACCTAAATCCAGTTTGTTTAAACCTAAAATGTCTCTCTCTGATCTGAATCATTAATCAGTGCTACTGCCGCTTCTACAGCTTATTGAGTGACGTCTGGAGGTTCTGATCTTTCACATAGGCATAACCTGTTCATATACTGACAATGAGAACTTCTCGAACCTCTAAATGCAACCCAGGTTCAGTTTGATTGAAAGAGTAATTCTTCTTGATGTAAAGTGTAATATATATACACACACACACACACACACACATATATATATATATACACACACACACACACACACACATATATACACACACACACACACACACACACATGACACACAGTTCATAGGTGTCTGCCTTTAACTGATTACAGTTTAAACACAAAGCAATAAGAGCATTATATAGGGGATGATGTCGTCGACTATTCACAAGAAGATGACGTCACCACTCAGACCACAGATTCTGTGCTGTAGTGCTTGCTATGGAACTCTTCTTCTCCACAACTGTCAGTATCATGCTTCATCCTTCCCTCACTTGTGTACAAGACCCTGAGATACTTGATCTCCTCCCCTTGAGGCAGGACATGCACCTTTTTCCGATCAAGAACCATGGCCTCGGATTTAGAGGAACTGATTTTCATCCCAGCCCCTTTTCCCATTGGATGCAAAGCACTGGCTTGGTTTGATGAAGCCATCAGGGCAACATCATCTGTAAACAGCAGAGATGAGATCTCTGGAAAATCTGCCCTTAAAGACAATGACCAGAACCGTTGACAAAGGGTAGCCCTGGCAGAGTCCAACATGCACTGGGAGCAGATCTGACTTACTGCAGAGAACACGGCTCCTGCTCCAGACAGCCCTGAGTAAAGGACCCCAGACCCCATACTCCCAGAGCACTCCCCACAGACACCACGAGGGATACAGTCAAGCACCTTCTCCAGATTGACAAAGCACATCTGGACTGGGTAAATACGCATCCTCTTATAATTTCACAATTGTATGGAAGTATCAAGGGTGAATTATTTATGTATTACTGTATCATTTCCTTAGAACTCTTATCAATGCATCTACAATTCCTCTGTATTCTTGTGCGGGTAAATGCTTTGGGTCAGCAGTGACTCATCATAAAAATAATAATTACAAATAAATATGTAAATACATAATAAACACATTTCTGGCCTATTTTGCACACTTTGTTGTGTCCCTGGGCAAGACACTTTTTCCACATTGTCCAAAGTAATTACAAAACAGCTGGGCTGGTTGTGACAGGAAAGGCATCTGTTGTTTAAAAAAAAAAAATCACTTCACTTCACTTTCACTTCAGATCACTGTCAACTTTAATTGAAAGGCAAAGAAAATGAGTTGATTATTCTTATTATTATTTGCATAGTAATAGCATTTGTAAGGGTTGCAATGTTTACAATTTTATTTTATGAAGAAAAAAGTCAAAAAATAATAACAATTTCAGTCAAGCATTTTACCTGCAAAATCTCTAATTTCGCTAACCTCTGCACTCACTTTTGCTGTCCTACAGTTGTACTTTGTCCAAAAAATAATAATAAAAAAAAAAGAAATCTATCTTGAAAATGTGCCAATATTTACCCATGAGGACAGGAAGAACCATATAAGGAGCATGTGGGTAATCCTCATTCAGTTACAAAGGTTAGTGCACAGTTCATACAAGTGTTTTGGAGAAGTTTGTATTTTCATTGGATATGATGAAATCCGGTATATTTGTCATCATGTCCTCAGCAGTTTGGTGGGGGGAGGGGGGAGAGTGGCGGGTGAGTGACTGAGGTGAGGGGAGAGAAAGGGGGAGGGGGGTAGTGAGGGGTGAGTAAGGGATGAGTCAACTTCTCTGCTGTATAAGAGATACCCTGATGATGGAGAGTCCAGTGATACTCCGACAACAGCCAAGGTAAGGCCCACTCACTCTGTACTACTGCTATTACTTCAGATAATACTATGTGTACTATAGAACACACTGTTTACTACTTGTACTACAGATCACACTATATTTACTACTTGTACTACAGACCACACTATATTTACTACTTGTACTATAGACCACACTATATTTACTACTTACTACAACTATATGTTTACTACACTATAGACCACACTATATTTACTACTTGTACTATAGACCACACTATACTACTTGTACTGTACCACACTATATTTACTTATACTATAGACTACACTATGTTTACTACTACTACAGACCACACTATATTTACTTGTACTAGACCACACTATATTTACTACTTGTACTGTAGACCACACTATATTTACTACTTGTACTACTGTAGACCACACTATATTTACTACTTGTACTATAGACCACACTATGTTTACTACTTGTACTGTAGACCACACTATATTTACTACTTGTACTGTAGACCACACTATATTTATTACTTATACTATAGAACACACTACGTTTACTACGTGTACTATAGACCACACTATGTTTACTACTTGTACTATAGACCACACTATATTTACAACTTGTACTACATTGAGCCGTTTTCATAATTTTAGTGGTAATATGTGTGTAAATACGTTTTATTATACTATGTTATGTATTCATCATTATTCTTGTCAATAAATAGTATGGGGGTTAGCCTGAGATGCTAGAATAGTAGCAATAGCTAAAAGAAATTAGATAAACCTGTAGCATTGGAGGTACTACTCCTATTTCCATTTCCTGACGGTAACAGCAGGCCTATATTAGGTCACTATATCTCTTGGCTCTTTGTACCATTGGCACTCTGGAGTTTTCACAGGTGTGTGGATGTCCAATATTTACTCCTAAGCACAAATAAAAGATCACAGTATAAAATGGCTCCTACATTGGTGACAGCTGTAAATTAACCTGGTCTCCTCTTGTCCTGTAGCCTCTTCAGTTATCATCAGTCATCGCAGCACCTGTCCAGATACGAGCCATGTACATGCCACCCCTGTCGCTCCTGCTGCTCCTATCGCTCCTGCCACAGTGGTCCTGGGTGCGAGCCGCATCACTGCCAACGGAGATGGTCTGGATGAAGAACAAAGTCCACATTATGGCCGAACAACTGGTGCGCAAAATCAGCACCAACATCAGTGTAAGAAAAAGATCCATACAAGTATTTCATACAAAATTGTACAAAAGTTTTAGGGACTGGAATTTTTAATTGTGTACTGAATTCATACACATCATAATTAGCCTTACAGCTTGATTGCTTTGCCTTGAATGTTCTGTAGTATTGGCATTTAAAGAGCCTATATTACGGATTTTTTAAAAATCTATGATATAATGTTATGTCCTCATCTCAAACATACCTGTACTTGTGCTGTTTCATTTGCACATCTTAGGCACACAAATCTTGCATATTTAGGCTGAGTTTTCTCTCAAACTCAAATATACATGCAACATACCTAGCGTGATGTCACTGCAAAGTATCATTAGTACTTTCTTTAATATTAATATTAATATTTGGTTTTATACCATTTCTGATAAAGCTCAAATTCATTCTAAAATCAGGATATGTGATTAAAAAATATATATTTTTGTATTGTTCAATTGAGTATGTAGAGTCAGTACTTGTTTTCGTATCTATTAGTGTCTGATTTTTAATGCTTTTGCCGTTTTCCCATCAGATCCCGCCAAACCTGTCCAAAAGCGCACCATCGGGGGAATACTGCGTCTGCTCCGTGGTCCAGTACCTGAACATCTCTTCTGGGCTTATCTCCAACAACTTCTCCTATGCCCTGGAACTCAAGGGGGAGATGGCCAGTCTGAGCAGCTTCGTGGACCAGGTCAAACAGTGCCACTGCAGCAGTAGACCCGTGAAAGCGGTTCCCAAGGAGCTACTGAAGCTTCAGCAGCCACGGCCGGTGTTTTTCTACAGCGTCACCCTGAGTACTTTCCATCTGGTTAAGGAGTACCTGAAAAAACTGCAGCTGAATTTGAACCACCTAGATAAGTGCACATAGAATATTCTTTATTAATATTATTATTATTATTTATTTTTTTTTAGATTTAAATGTTATTATAAATATTATTACATTATTTATTTATTTTTTCAAGATTTGCATCCACCCCTACAAAAAAGAAAAGTATATTTATATTAAATATATCGTGCAGTCATTTTGACAATGACAACTATTTAAATTACTATATTGATTAGTGGATTAGTTAACGAACAGTAAAAGTAAAAAATGTGTTATTTATTTGCACTGGTAAAAATGTCGTGTACAGCCTACTTGATACTTGATTTGTTTAAAACATGCATTTTATATATATATATATATATATATATATATATATATATATATATATATATATATATATACCTATTTATGTTATGTTATGCATGTATTTATTTATATTAAGTGTAGATATACACTGCTATATTTTGTTGTTATATAGCAGTGGTGTTTTTTTAATGGTTTTAGTCATTTTTGCAGCTCATTCTTAACATAACATTATTTAGCATTTTGTTTTGTATTTTTTAATTTTGAAAAAACAAACAATAGTTATATAGTTTCTTTAAAAAAAAAAAAAAAAAAAAAAAGTACTTTGTGCATTTACAAAAAAGTGCACATTTCTAAAAACTTGATTAAAAAATACATTAGTACATTTTTCATGTTGGAGATTAGAGATTATTATTTATCATATTTCTATAAACACAATATATAATATAGTGCACTATTTGTATTTAACTGCTTTTAAACAACTATAGACAAACAAAAAATACAATACAAATGTAAAAAACAAATGTACTTTTTATACAAGTTTTTTTTTTTGTTGGAGGAGTCTACAATATTGCTCTGTTTGAGAACCAGTGTTTTATGCTTTGTACCATGTAAAATGACTGTTGTTATGGTAATAATCCATACGTGCTGAGTCAGCTGTGCCCGGAGCAGAGCACACGTCACAGACCAGCCAGTCGTCATTCCTGGAAAATACATTTTCATACAAATACTCTTTTGAAGTGGTCAAGAAAAACTCTTCACTAGAGATTTGAACCCTGCTCCTGTGCAATATCTATATGGAAAACTCTATATATATTTATGAGATGTATATTTTTGAACATTTTATATTTTGTATATGAATAAATCATGTTTTATAATAGACAATATTGCATCTTCACTCGGAGTATTATGCAAAATGTCGTTTTTTTTTAAGCTTTCTATCATGTTATAACTTTAACTCATCAAAAACATGCCTGAAGAGGGTCCAATTCAAACCCTCCTTACAGTTAGCAGTACAATTCTGTCCAATGCTCAGCCCACAAGCATACGTCATCCATGCTTCCACACAGCAATTCTCCATATACACAAAAACATACTACAAAATTGTACACAACAACTTGATAAACTTGATGCGATGTGCAGTAGTTTCATTAGAGGGTTACATGCAGGTTGTGAATGATATCGCTCTGAAGGGGGAGTGACAGAGCAAAGGGAGGGGAGACTCAGAGCATCAAAAGCGTCACGGAGATCACACGTTGGAACATTCTACATGGAGTTTTCTGCAATGAACATGCCTTTATTGTAATATTTTTGAGGGTTTAAAAGCTACACTCTTATTGTGCTTTTAAAGACACAAGTAGGTCAGACATTACTATTATGTATTTTTTGTAAACATGAGCAAAACAACAAAATATTAACTTTTACTTATAATTATTGCCGGACCTTTTCAAGATGAATGACCCCTATCGTGCAAGTACTATTTGCAATGGAGACTTGACTGAGTGGGTGTCTTATACAAATGTGTTTAGCTGATAAGAGATAAAGTATGTGACTAACTGCACAGAACCAGCAACATTACAACTGTTGCTTAAGTTATATTATATAATATTTACCACAAATTAAAAAAAAAAAAAAAAACACAACAGGAGAGATGGGATACAGCAATTCAAACTATACAGTTTTACACAAATTAGGAAGAAATCTTGATACAGTTAGGCCCAAAGGTAATTATATCTTGGCTTAGCTCAACAAATTAAAATAACTAAAACAAAGTGGTAAATAACATGACTGGCATGATCAAAATCCAATCACAGTTTTGGAAAATTTGACAAGGCTCTTACAGCAATTTAAATCAAAACTCTGTTCACAGTGGAAATTTTAAAAATACCATTTAATACAAAATTTGCATTTGAGAGAAGAAATACGATCAACTAATGCAAGAATCCTATGTATTTGAAAACTTGTAGAGGTCTAAACTACAGGGTTAGCAGGTTTTATACATAGTAGGACCCCATTAATCAAAATAAACACAACTAATTGCCTCCATTTAAATTGTAATTTCAATGAATCATTCAAATCTAGATCAAGATACTCACTATGTTTACATGCAAGCCAGGAAAACTGAATAACTGGCCTACTCCAGTTTAAACTGATGTATCAAATGCATGTGAACCCGAGAGCTATGACTGAGGTGTCATGAATCAAATCTCAAAGATCCCAATAACATATTTGGGGAAGCTGATACATATTTGGATACCTGCTGCATGTAACTGCACAGTCAGATTTACCTAAGGAGACAACTAAAAGAGGCATGGGTAAGAAACTATGAAAATATTAGATGATGTGTTTGGATGTGTACTCAATCATTTTAGAGCAGCAGTGATGATAAACTACAACTCTTTCAGCATAGACTAGTTCATTTTGGACTGCTACTTTAAAAGGTCCTAGGCTTTTAACAGGCATGTTATAATGTTATTAAGTGCTCAAAAACATACCTGGAGTTGTGTTTTGTTTCATTCACATATGATACATTGAGTAATCCTAGTTTATTAGTTTGTACATCTGGAAGTTCAAAATGCTCTGATCCAATTTGTGATCTCATGAAGTGATAGCATGGAAGTTAAGAGCTACCTATTACCTTTTGTTCAGTAAAGATTGGAAATTCAAGGGGTGAAATTATACCTATGATTCAAGGGAAGGTGTATGGACTTTAAAAACATAGCGGAGCACTTCCCATATTACCACATGACATCACAAGCTGGAAAGGGGTGTTTTCTGTTTGAGAGAAGAACTCAGCCTAAATATGCAGAGTTTGAGCGTTAAACATGTGTAAGTTACACAAAACACAACTCCAGGTATGTTTTTGATGAGGAAACAACACATATAACATAGATCAGAAATATGGGCTTTAAAGTGAAAACTGTAACTTCAATGTGTTTACTTGTACTACAGAGTAAACCAAATAACTTGTGAGTATTTTTTAGCACTTATACCTGCAAGAGTTTTGTGCTAATTCCAAATTACTAGACATACCTGAACGCCTCATAACCTCCTGTCTGCACCCATTCAGTTCTTTGACCTGCTGTAGAATGGGACAAGAGCAGTCCAACAGGTATCAGGGAAAAAAAGGCTATTTGAATTTGTTTAGCACTGAGTTTTTTGATGATAGAATTCATAATCACAGAAAAATGCACGAAAGGTGTAAGTTTTAACTTGAGCTTACTGAGAGAAAGTCAATAAATATCTTAAAAAAAAAAAAAAAAAAAAATCACAATATTTTGCCAGTTGTTTAATTTGTAGCAAAAACAGACTCACTGATGAAGTAGAAAATTACATGAACTGAAATTGTATAGCCAGGGCCAGAATATTCTCAGTCTTAAATCTGAATTGTAAACATAAAAAAGGTTTAACTGTCAAACCACTTGCTTCTCTTGACCATGCTGTCTGTGGTCCCCATCAGCTTCCTCTTGTACTGCTCCACCAGGCTGTCGAAGCGGTCTCCACCCTTTCTCTTGAACGGCTTACTGGGTTTAACCTGATGGAGAAAAATATTATATATTTCATTGTTTTTTTTTACAGAAAGAAAAACTGAACATCAATACCCTTATATTCAGTTCTAGTTTGACAACTGTGTGAAAACAAGGACTAAGGATGCAAATTACGACTTGTCCATGGTTTATTTCTATTGTCCACTGAAACATTTTAAATCCCAATTAAACAGAAAATCTGAATTTTTTTATTTTTTATTTATTTTTATTTGTGTCTTTCCATGTGTTTTATGGTCTGTACAGTCCAGACAACAATTACAAACAAATACAATTATTATATTTTTTTGATGAGTCACAATAGTCAATCCTTGCAGTCGTATAGTGGAATATAATTTAAATTCAATCATCTAGAACCACAAAGAATACATTTAGTGAGACTTAAAAGTCAGGAAATTTTGAGTAGTTGTTGTGAATACTAAAACTTAGTCCTTTCAAGTAAACTAAAAGCCGACCACACACTACAGGATTTTTCAGTCTTAAATGATATCAAAACATGCAACAAAAAGTGTAGACACGAGGAGTGTGCAAAGACTGCTGCGGGATAGGCGCACAGATGTGAGTGCCCTATGCATTTGCCATTTCCTAAAACCACTCGCTTTCAGTGTTTCCCGCAGAAAACAGGAGCGGGGGGAGTGCAGAGATTCCATGCGACGACCAGACCATAGTTTTGCGAGGATTCACGTGGTTCGAAGGGAAGTGATCAAGGCAGGGGCCACTCATTATCAAAGCAGCAGTCTTAACTATAGAGCGCTGCCGGAAACACTGTCATTGCACTTCTAGTGTTATTTTTATTTGTTGAAACATGTTCATATTTAATCAAAGTGCTTTGTTGTAGTACATTCTAATGGAACTGGTTTGGAATAGCTATAGTAATTGTATAGTACTACAATTCCTATTATCTCCACATACGGCAAAAAAATACCCCAGATCTAGCTTTCATTCAAACTCACAAATTTAGTGACAGACTCTTGTTCCTTTAGTGTTTGTGTGTGTATTTACCTGGTTCCTGGTGTGTGTGGGCTTTTCCATGTGCTGTCTCTTCATTTCTTTCCTGCTGGGGCCAGCTCGAGCTTTCTTGGGCGCTGGAGCTACTTGCTTTCCTTTATCTCTCATTCTGCACAAAACAGGGTTAGTTACATTTAGGGTTAGAAGTTAATGAACCAACACATCTGATCAACACAGATTTGAATGTAAAGACACCCCTAAAATGCATGATAGGTTAATTGAATCTTTCCACTAAAATATCTTAAACATATATTAAAAATAAATAAATAAAATGTATATTGTATAATTATGTTGAAGATTTTACAATCTTCAACATAAGCCATTTTTTTTATTTAGGAGTAGTTCAGATTTTACTTTCTGGTTGGACATGGGTAGCAGATATTACATCATTACATAACTCTTACCTACTTCCTGTATTTTATACCGCAAACTGCCACTTAACTGACACAAAAGTATGATGCATATTTACCACAGTTACTATTCCACTAAGTCATAAAATTTGCCATTATTGCATTTACACAGTTACACTAGCAACCCAGCAGTGCTGCGTATTGGCCTAACGAGATAAATTAAAAGGAAACAGTGAAGTGACAGTTATCATGAGTCATGACCCATTTCTTTATAATCCGTCTTTGTCTATGTAACAAGTAAAGAGAAGCTAAGATACGGATGTGGCACTATAGTATTGTTAAATGCTTTAATATTTGACAGTTATGATGACTGAACTAAAGGCAATACCTCAGTTGCATCAGTATGGAAAAAAAACACTTAATTTTATTTTTTTCATATTTCATTTCCAGTGTATCCTCAGTAATGTGTCTTTTTAAACTCATGAGTAACAATGGAAACAGAAGAGCAATGAAGCTGTATAAAACAATGTTATGAAGTTCCATTTAAATCAGTTTGGTGAAAATTGTATTTTACAAATATGAAACGTGGAGTTAATTCGGAATGGTACATCAATTTGAGGGCCTTGCTATGAATTTCAAATTACTGATATAAACATCTTGCTCCAGCAGAGTCCTGACCTGATTTTGGGCCCACGGTGTGAGGGCATGGGCAGAACCTTCCTGCGCTTCTTGCCATTCTCCAGATCCACATGTTCCACCTCAGGTCTGGTCTGGAAACCTGAGAAGTACCGATTCTGCTTCTGCTGCTGCTGTTGCACTGGGGCTGGGAGACAAGCAAAGCAAATAAACATGCATGTTAATAGTATATGAACAGAGGAGGATAGAGAAGCTCAACAAAATTGCATAAGAGACACTGTATGTTTATTAGGATGGTGTATAAATCTTACTTAATAGGACATAAGAGCAGGTAGTTTAACAGATAATTAGAACTTCGAGTATTCCCCATTGTGTACACATTGTGTACTACCCTGAGGAAACCACATTTCAAAGTTACTAAGTTAAATGTAGTCACACAGTAGAGCATACCCTTTTCTTTGCCTGTGTGGTCTGATGGGGGATGACTCTGAGTGACTTCTTTCTTTACAACCTGTTTACCTCCATGTTGTGCAGGTTGAGTTTGGACCTGGGGATGGGACATCAATTGTAAACACAATAAAGAAAATAGAAAGAAAGGGAAAAAAATAGAAAGAAAAAGAAGACAAAATATGAGTATCATGTAAACTAACTACTTGTAAATATGATTTCATTTTAAGTATTTATGTATCACTTTAACTATTTGTACAACTACATCTACAACTACTGTTAACACTGATAATACAATTATACATTAGATCTTACTTATAGTAACTAATTGTATAGTATAGTTTACTAGTCGTAAAGAGATAATCCAATTAACATAAGACTTAGACAAACTTTACTGATCCACAAGGAAAATTACTTGGACACAGTAGCTCACACGTCACATTATATATTAGACAAATGTTGTTGGGTCCTCTCTTAATTGGGTAAAAATTAAAACTAAAGCCACGATTACTTTTATCTAATGATTATTTCAGTAGTCGACTAGTCAAAGATTATTTCTATTGTCCTGTGAAACATTTTAAATACTAAATTAAACTGAAAATGTTATGTTACCATTTGTAAAAAAAATTTAAATTTCCATCCAGAAAGCAATTACCAAACTACAACCACAATATTTTTTTATAGTTGTGTCATGATAGTCAATTGTCCAGTCCTATCGTGGACCATAATTTTAGGACCACAATGAACTTACAATTAGTGAGACTTAAAAATCAGGAAACTTTGAATAAGTGTTTTGTTGAAGTATATTCTAAATTCTATATTGTACAAGTCTCTCCATGGCCGAGCACCAAAGTACATCTGTGACATGTTAGTGTCATATGAACCATCTCGCACTCTGAGGACCTCAGGGACCGGCCTCCTGCTGGTGCCCAGAGTCAGGACTAAACAAGGGGAGTCAGCGTTTCAGGTTCATGCAGCTAAAACCTGGAACAGTCTTCCTGAACATGTGAGACAGACTCTTCTGTGACGCTGTTTAAATCCAGGCTCAAAACATTTCTGTTTAACTGTGCATATAACTGAAAGGTTTTGATTCCACACTCTTCTCTCCAATTTATGTCTCTCTTTTTTAATTTTAATCTTCATGATTATTTATGTTTTGATTTGTTTTTATTATGATTTTAATGTATTTCTTATTCTGTAAAGCACTTTGAATTACTTTGTGTACGAATTGTGCTATACAAATAAACTTGCCTTGCCTTGCCTTGCCTATATTCAGAACTGGTTTGGGTCACCTATAGTAATTTTTCAATTCCTATTATCTCCACATGGCAACAAAGCACCACAGATCACTACAACTACTATTACTATAACTACTACAATTACTACAACTAACGTACCCTGTTGTGCTGCTTCCTCGCTTCTTTTATCTGAAGCTTTCTGGAGTCTTCCAACGAGAACTCCACGATCGGTCTCTGTGAAATAAACATTCATTTTTTGTTAATCAATAACAAAAAACATCCAAATACCATCCCAGCCCCGGCAAACCTCTCATGTGGTACCTTGTTTGGTCCAAAGATGTTAGGATTATTGTTGAGGTAGCGGAGGGTGCTTAAGGCGTGCTCATGGACTGAGAATTGCACAAAGCCGTAGCCCAAAGACTGCCCCATGATCTGGCCTTTCTCTGGCTTCTTGTCATACATGACCCTGCACTGGAAAGGAAACAAGCACAAAGTAATGAGTGGAAATGTATGGGGAAATAGCTCGCCCTTGTGGATAAAAATGGACTTACAGCTAGCAATAAATGTTTGGCTTTGGGATGGATGGATGAAATACGTTAAAACGTGCCTGGAAATTGTTTAAGGTTCAAATCTAGCACATATCAACCATGAAAAATGTCACGTTATACTTATTGTTTATATTAGATTACAATAGAAGTTTCCATCTCTTTATGAATTTTTTTTTATATTTTATTTTGTTTTAATATTAGACAATATATTTCTCTATTTATAATTTAGCAAATCTCCAAGACGTGTTATCAATTTTGATATACATCTCCCACTTTGCAGTGTTGAAAACACGCAAATTATTACATTTGTATTGAATTTTAACTTATATATATATCTATAGATATATATAGATAGATATAGATAGATATAGATATAGATATAAAGATAGAAAGATAGAGAGATAGAGAGATAGAGAGATAGAGAGATAGAGATAGAGATATTTTTTGGGGGGGGGAGGATTTGACTTTAATATCACAATTCCTGCATCACTTAAATCTTTCAAAGAACAAATATTCATAAAATCAAACATATCATTTTGTCTTTTACCTGTAGAACTTGGACTACTTATTACTTATATTAATACTTATTACTTCAATTTTAGCAACTGCACTAAAAGCAACTCCTATGTATTTATTCTTTACTTTTCTTCTTTAGGCATTGACAAAGCAGTGTGAGTGTGATGTGACCTCTGACCTCACTGATGCGCACTCCCTTGGTGCCCTTGAGGCCCTGCAAGCAGATGCTCTTCAGTCTCTTGGTGTCCACAGACTTGGGCAGGTTATGGACGCACAGACGGGTCTTGGACACAAACACATGAATGTCCTTCAGCTTGGCCCTCTTGATCTCTTCAAACTGAGAGACAGAAAAAAACTCATCTGGATATTGTAATAACTTTTTCATTTAGCTTTTTGTTAATAAAAATAAACAATTACAGTATGTAAATTCTTTGCTTTGCAAACAGTGTTATTATTACAAACTACAAAGACTAAATCAACACGAACACAAGGATGATGCACTATCTAACTTTTCTTTTGGAAGTTGCACCACTTGATTTTCTTGCCTAGAATGTTTCACAGTATGGCATTAAACATATAGCTAAGTGAGGAACAGTGTAGACAAGCAAAAACATATCTATAATGACCAGCAGGTGGCTCTGTATTTTTTCCTCATGTAATTGAGTAAAATTTGTCTTGGTTCTGTACATGTATACTAATACAGTATAAGCACCTCTAAATAAGTCCACTGCATACTGTCTGCATCTAATTCTAAAGTATTTCACTGATAATCAGCAAGTGCATTCTAGATGTGGTTAGCTTTACTGTGATGTAAACTCCAGTCTACCCTATGAATATTTTGATTATATATTCTTTATTTTGATATGTACTCATAGAGAATAATTAGGATGCCCAGAATGCATAAGGTAAGTGAGGAATAACATTACTGCAAACATTGTAAAACTGTTTTTCACATTTTTAAGAAAAATCAGGTATAGCGCGAAAGTTATGAAAATGGTGACAATAATGGTGACAATTTAGGCACTGTATTAAAATAAAAAATTATAGATAACATTCTCACTAGCCTAATGTTACAGATATTGTGGTAGACAATCAGTTACAATTAATATAGCTATATAGCAATTATGAATGTAAGTTAAGTTATGTTGTGTAATGTCTGAATTACACAAGTGGGTGTATAAGCAGGTGTAAGGAGGACGCACCCGGGTTCTCTTGGCCATGTCTGCCTCAGGAATGCCCTCCGCTGCTTTAGTGCCAGCTCGGATCACTGTGTAAAAGGAACAGACCACAGACAAATATTATGAACATTTAAAACTCACTCAAAAAGAGAAGAGGATAAAAAGCTTAAGGTACATTAGCCAAAACACACAAGGCATAACTTTGTAGATAAAATACTATGAACAGCATTTCATTTAAAGTTAAAGCATTTCTATTTGCGAGTTTGATCCACATAATATGTAAAATATCAGTTCAATTTACATTTATAAAACAATTTAGCAATATTTACAAATTCTTATTTGGTATTTTGGCATTTTTATTTTGTATTTGAGTGAACTAGATCAAAATAACAAAAAAGGGACTGAAGATGTAAATTAGCCACACTGGCTTTAATCTTTACAATTTTAAATGCTCATTAATATATGTTGTCCCTTTACAAATAAATAAATAAGAATATAGCAAGAAATATTGCAAGATCTTGCAGAATATATACATGCATATTTGAAGACATACACAAAATGTTCTGTAAAATTTATGTAGCAAAGGTAAAAGTCAGTATTCAGTACTACATGCTTATAAAGCACATCTGCCCCACCAAAAATCATATTACCATAGTATCATATTAGAAAGCTAATCAAAAGAATATAATTGCACTCACATCCTTCTCTGGCCAGATAGAGATTCCTGGTGCCAGTCTCCACTTTCTTCTTGTTGTCCTTAAGTTTGGACGCCTCTTCTCTGGTCACTGCTGCAACGATCAGCAGCTTTCTTCCATCTACACGGATCCCTCCATTCTGAATACACACAAGGGTTCAAAACTACTGTGCTGATTTTCAGTAAAATGCAAAATATATTACTTTTTTTAAAGGTACGGTATGTACTGTTTTTGTAGTGGCAGGTCACCTGCATGATTCCATGGAAATAAAAAAGGCTAAATGTTACATATTGTGGCTTTAAAGAAGACATATAATCATTGTCTTCATCATCAGTAGTATTAAACTACAGCATAAGCAAACAGTTATTTAACATTTTGTTCATTGGCAAGTAAGAACAAAAATATGAGCATGTAGGTGGTAGGTGAAAACAAGACTTTTTACTAAAGTCTCAGTGGCTGGAAAATGCAGGATTACGTTACTCTTACTTTACTTTTACTTAACTTTACTAATATTTTGTGTTTTTTGTAACTTGAAAACAGGATGGCACATCTCAAGGGGCATTCAAATAAAATAAATAAAATATAATACTGTATATTCATTTTTATTTGATTATATTAATACAATTATTTAATAAAAAAAACTATTATATTATTATATCCATATTATTATTTATATTATAATATTTTTTTTGTAGACCAGTTTGCAAAATGGGCTACCTGTGCTTCGTCTTGTGCCGCAGCTATACACTTCTCTGCTGCCTCTTTAGTCTTAAACTGAGCAAAAGCACAGCCTGTAGAGGACAAAAGCAGGGTGAGTTCACAAATTCCAGTACAGACAGTTGGCTGACTACATCATGAGCAGCCTTATACCTTTGGAGTGCTCTGTGTCTGGGTGCAGCACTATTTTAATGTAGTTGAGCTCTCCGTACTGCAGCAGAACCTCCTCCAGGCCTTCTTCCTCAGTGTCAAAGGACAGGTTCCTGAAGTTACAATGTAGTTCAAGGAAAAATATTATTGCATGTATGGCTAGGCAATATAACAAACAATTGCATATTTTCACCCATATTTATCAATGACGATTTTCAAATAAAAGTAATTTTGTAAAAACAAACAAAAAAAGTTTTTTTTCTGTAATGTGTAAATACCTGATGAATATAGTTCTGCCCTCATTTATGTCTGAAGGGAGAGCTTTCTTGGATTTGTTCTTCTTCTTCTTCTTCTTCAAATCCACATCATCATCATCGTCGTCATTTTCATCATCTTCATCCTCATTATCTAGATCTCCACAACACCACAAAATAAATGTCATCTTTAATAACCATATTTTAGTATACATTTTTGTTGACAGCAATAAAAATTAATATTTATGTAAATATTTTATTTATTCACAAAAAGCCTCACTGTGTAACATTCCGGCCAATAAATCGACCAAAAAAAATTATATTGTTTTTACGATTTATTTTATTAATAAAATAAATAAATAAAATAACAACAGGGATACATGTTTTAAGGGACCCTCCCCTGTGACTGGCTATTTGAAGTGTCTAAGTGTGGTTATGGTTAAAGGCCCCATATTATATTTTCTGATCTGTTATAATGTTATGTCCTCATCAAAAACACACCAAGAATTATGTTTTGTTTCACTCACACATGTTTAACACTCAAACCCTGCATATTTAGGCTGAGTTAGGCTCTGTTTCACCTTGTGATGTCATGTGGTAATGCAGGAAGTGCTCCAATGTGTTTTTAAACAGCATATAGCTTCCCTAGAGTCATTTGGATGATTTCAGCTGTAGAAATCTCAGATCTACGTCTCTCTGGCAGCAGGAGACTATGGACCAGTGGACTCACTTGGTCACTGCATCCAACAGGTCAGTGTGTGGATGCAAAAACAACTTTCTCCAGCTAAACTCTGACAAGCCTGAAGTCATAGTGTTTGGTCCACAGAAACAAAGGGACAGTGTCAGCAGTCACCTCCAGTCTCTCTCTCTAAAACCTTCAAATCAGGCAAGAAATCTAGGGGTAATAATGGACTCAGACTTGAACTTTAACAGCCACATCAAATCAATAACATCTGCAGCCTTTTACCATCTAAAAAACATAGCAAAAATCAAAGGTTTACTGTCTAAATCAGACTTGGAGAAACTTATCCATGCGTTTGTCTCCAGTAGGTTAGACTACTGTAATGGTCTGCTCACTGGTCTCTCCAAACGAGCTGTGAGACGCTGCAGAACATCCAGAACGCTGCAGCTCGGGTCCTTACTCGAACTAGGAAGTACGAGCACATAAGTCCTGTGCTCAGGTCTCTGCACTGGCTTCCTGTGCCTCAGAGAATGGGCACCAGCAGGAGGCCAATCCCTGAGGTCCTCAGAGTGCGAGATGGTTCATATGACACTAACATGTCACAGATGTACTTTGGTGCTCGGCCATGGAGAGACTTGTACACAAGCAGAGCTGCTTTAAAGTCTCAGGACTAAACAAGGGGAGTCAGCGTTTCAGGTTCATGCAGCTAAAACCTGGAACAGTCTTCCTGAACATGTGAGACAGACTCTTCTGTGACGCTGTTTAAATCCAGGCTCAAAACATTTCTGTTTAACTGTGCATATAACTGAAAGGTTTTCATTCCACACTCTTCTCTCCAATTTATGTCTCTCTTTTTTAATTTTAATCTTCATGATTATTTATGTTTTGATTTGTTTTTATTATGATTTTAATGTATTTCTTATTCTGTAAAGCACTTTGAATTACTTTGTGTACGAATTGTGCTATACAAATAAACTTGCCTTGCCTTAGAAATTCTAATCTCTACTGAACAAAAGGTAAAAGGTAGTCATTAACTTGAAAACCATCACTTCATGACATCACAAAGTGGAATAATGATTTGAGCTTTGGAAATGTAGACAAACTAATAATAAAGGGCTACTCAAATAATGTGTGAATGAAACAAAACACAACCCTGGGCATTTTTTTGAGGAAGTAACAACATTCTGACATGAATTAAAGCTCACAAGGATCAATTATGCAAAATATAGGGCCTTTAAAAGTTGTCAGAGTTTGGTAAAGTTCAGTAACATTTAAGAAATTTAAGCCTTACCATCATCTTCCTCATCGTCTTCATCCTCATCGCCCTCCAAAGCACTATCCTCTGATTCACTTTTCTCCTCCTCCTCTTCTTCCTCCGTATCCTCCTCCTCTTCCTCACAGTCCTCTTCATCCCCGTCTTCCTCTTCACTGCTGTCATCACTCTGCTCCACAACTTTGGCTTTTGCTGAAGTAGGTCTAAAGACAGGTGTGACACATTAGTATTTACGGTACAATTCCAGTGAGCATTAAAGCAAGTATTCAAATTCATCTGAAGTACTTTTTTCTCTCCTTCACTGGTGGTTTCTGTACATCTGTGTCCTCTTCAGAATTGCTGTTTGTCTCTAGCTCTTCAGTAGTGGCCTCCTGTTCCTTGTTATTGCCTGAAGGGAAGACAACAGAATGATTATCTTGGTTTTTGACCCATTTTTGTCTTAACATGGACCTGGTTTGCTCCAGTTCCAGTGCCAGTTCCAGTTTGGTCCTGGTTTAGTCCTGGTTTAGTCCTGGTTTAGTCCAGGTTTAGTCCAGGTTTAGTCCTGGTTTAGTCCTGGTTTAGTCCAGGTTTAGTCCAGGTTTAGTCCAGGTTTAGTCCAGGTTTAGTCCAGGTTTAGTCCAGGTTTAGTCCAGGTTTGGCCCAGGTTTGGCCCAGGTTTGGCCCAGGTTTCATGAACACACTTGTAATCTTTGTCAACCAGGTTAACATTTGATTTTTCTACCTGTACTTGAAGCAGGCTGAGTGGACAAATACTTGTCCTTAGCCACTGCCCAGTCCACTGCCACTGGTCGACCTTTAAATGATAGAAACTGGGTCATATGTTGTTCCACCAAAAATTATCTTTTCAAATGTCACATGTGAAACTAGCACACTTCCACAGTGAATGAAATTGTATCTTACCTTTAATTTCTTTCATGTTCATAGCAGTCAGTGCTTTTGCTGCCTCTGAGACATTTTTAAACAAAACAAATGCAAACCCACGCATTTTCCCATCTGTAAACCGAAGGGCTGAGTGAGAAATGGAACCAAAACATGGGATAATAACATTAGTAACATACCAGGTTTGAGGGGAATGCGGGCCTCAAGAACCGTTCCAAACTTGGCAAAAGTTTCTCGTAAATCATCTTCTGAACACTGCATGAGAGTACTGGTTAATTATCATCACTGGACAAGCTAAACTGGGGAAATATTGGGAGCTATTTGACCTAAAAACTGATTACCTTTCATTATAATTATTATTTTTAATCTGATCTTTTTATTTCTAAAACTATTTCTAACCCCCATCCCCCCAGTATACCATCAATCTATGGACATTGGTAATTGTAAAATCATTGACTCCTAGTGTCCCTGTTCAGGACATGGATCTTGTTTCCTCCCATACCTTGAAGCTCAAGTTTCGTATGATGAGTCTGGCTTTTAATTTGCTCTTTTTGAATCCTTTGTCCTTTTTCTCCTTGGGTTCCTTCTCAGGTGCTACAACACAAACAATAATTTTTCCACAAATATTATTTTTCCATGTGTACATTTATTTCAGTTTTCACATGTTACTGTGCTCTGTGGAGCAGCTTCTGTGGCACTAGATTTAGGTCTGTTTACTTATCTGTTGGGACACTCGCCCCAAACTCCAAAACATGAGCCACATAACAGGCCATCAGATGACCCCACAATTTATTTTCATGGGCTTTGAGAGCAAGTGTGGCAGATTATCATGTTCACAAAGGTCCAAGATCACCACTCTTGGATCGAAAGCTTTACATCAGTCTAACTAGTGGCAGTGCAATTCCCTTAGTACTAGTGTTTAGAATGGCATACTGACCAGCTTTCTTCTTGTCCCTTATCTTCTTTTTGGCTGTTGTCAGAGAAAGCCTCTGTCCATCATAATCTTTGACTTCTTTCAAAGCGCGCTGAGCATCTTCATCCAGGGAATAAGTGACATAGCCAAAACCTCTGCATTTATCTGTACCTGGTTAACAGACAACATTAAAATGAAACTACAATGTAATTGTGTTTTTCTGTGGATTTTGGAAAGAAGTTCCAAAAAAAAGTGGATAGCGTAGTCAAAATTGACTCAAGAGAAACATTTCTTCAAAATGATATTACTGAAGTAGAAGTACAAAGTAGTGGTCCAAGAAATTACTCAAGGAATAGTAAAAAAAAGTATCTGGGAAATCTACTAGCTCGTCCACGCCTTTATCTCCTCCAGGCTGGACTACTGTAACGCACTCCTCATCGGGATACCTGGCAGGAGTATCCAGAGACTGCAATACATCCAGAACTGCGCTGCCAGGATCCTGATGAGGGTGCGAAAATTTGACCACATCATCCCCATCCTGAAATCCCTTCACTGGCTCCCGATCGCACTCAGGATTGAGTACAAGGTCTCCCTCCTCACTCACCAATGCATCCACGGTCACTCCCCCCAGTACCTTAAAGAACTCCTCACTCCCCAGACCCCCTCACGCACCCTCCGCTCTGCAGCCACCAACACTCTCCAAACCCCCAGAACCAAACTTTGCACCATGGGAGATCGGGCCTTCTCCTCTGCTGCTCCAAGGCTTTGGAATGCTCTCCCCGACCACCTGAGAGCCCCACAATCTATTTCTGTTTTTAAACAAAATCTTAAAATATACCTTTTTACTAAAGCCTTTTGTTAATTGTATTTTATTCTTGTTTTATCTTATAAATTCCTGCACTGGTTTTAGCTTGATCCACTGTTTCTGATGCACCTTTTTACTTATTGTTTTTACCTGTAGCACTTTGAGATTATTTTATGTAAAGTGCAATATAAATAAAATGTATTATTATTATTATTATTACTACTACTCAAGTATGAGTAATTATAAAATAGCAAGTGTAGGGATTGAAGTTGAAGTGTAGGACTTGAAGTTAATGTTGTTGAAAGTAAATTAAATAATTGACATTAAAGAATGCACAAAATCTGGTATTTTAAAAAAGGATGGACACAAAAATTAGAAAAACAAAATTATATCTGAAGGAGCGAAGAAAAACAAATGTTCAAATAATTTCATATTGTTAACATAAAGCTTTTGTCACTTGTAGACCTACTCTAACCACAAGTAACCACAACTTTAAGAGTGCAGTCACTTCAATAAAAATGTTAGGAAAGTAGGAGTAAATGTATGCTGCTAGAAATGTAACTGAGTGAGTAAATGAATATACCTCCCACCTGTGAACATAATTCTTAAGAATGCTGACACCTGTCCTAAGATTACGAGCACATTGTTTTAAATTTGTAAAGTGTCCATCTGTTATTGCTGGAGTTCCCGTTTTGCCAGTTGTGAAAAAACGAATCATAAAAAAAAAAGAAAGAAGAAAAAAAAGAACTTGATGCTCTGGGGCATGCTAGTCCCCTGGTCAGAGAAATCAGCTTAATTTTTATAGAAGAGGGAAAATCCATTGCAAGCTATGATCAGGCTTAATCCCCTTTATTTACAATTTGGAAATCTTTAATAATACTATATACTATGAACCAGATATTACGCGTTCTTAATAAAGATTGAATTAACTGAATCAAAATTGGTAGTCTGTAGGAGCGGAGATGCTGAAATTGTTGGCTAATCTGAGTCCCCTACGAGTCAACAAACAAAAATGACAGCCGCATGAACAAATAGCCTTACCTTTCTCTTTTACCACAAAACACTGTTTTATGGGTCCGATTTCAGAGAAGATCTCCCCGAGCCGTTCATTTGTCGCAGTCGCTGGTAAAGACTGTACAAAAATAGTTGGGGCAGGCATGGCTCCCTGTTCCAGTGAAAATAAATGTATGGAGAGTCCCTGGAAAAGATGTCTCCGCCAAAAACACAGCGTATTTATAGTGTATTACTTATATAACGATATTGCTTATTTATAAGAGCAGAATACGGCGAGGAAATGTGTTAACCTTTAATATAACGAGCTCCCAAAGCAGCACGCATGTTTACATATGAGCGCGGCCATGTTGGATTACTGATGGGTGCCCGGAAATGACGTCTGCTTCTACATCCGCTGTAGAAAAAATATTCATGTATTTATAATTATTAGCTAAAAACAAATATTTAAATTTTCAAAACTGGGCTGATAGGGTAATTATTAATCTAGAACAATTATTTGACAATGAAATTATCATTAAACAAGAAAACTTCAAGAGTATCCAGATTATCCTCATAAAATAAGAACACTAGAATTATACATTGACGGAATACTGACACTAAATCTCAATTGCAATAACTAATTAATTAGTAATTAGAGAGTTTTAATAGCAACAGAGTATTCCACAGAGGGAAATTTATTTGGAACACTGTTCTAGCATACATTAATAAGCTTTCATCCTTTAAACTCTGTGTAAAAAAACTAAAATTAATCAACTACATCTTAAAATATGATATAATATATCCATCAGCTTATCTAATTATTAAAAAACACTTGAACAGACCCCAAATGTGATTTCTGTAGTACTGAGAGTGAAGCAATAGTAGTAGTAGTAGTAGTAGTAGTAGTAGTAGTAGTAGTAGTAGTAGTAGTAGTAGTAGTAGTAGTAGTTGTAGTAGTTGTAGTGGTAGTTGTTGTAGTTGTAGTAGCTGTAGTTGTATAGCAAAAATCTTAATTGTATGAATTCCATAGCCATATAGAGACCTTAAAATTAATCTCTTAGGGCTTAGTGTCCACATACGTGGACAGCACTTTTTACCTCTTATGTCCACAATCATGTTCAGTGATGAACTGGGGGTATTATAGACACATGTGTGGGCAGTGACTCTACCATCCAGTAGTGTCAGAAGAGCCTAACTTACTATTGTCAAAATTCAATATAGCGGCGAACACATGGTAATATTCAAGTGGCACCTCCATACACAAACATTGATCAGGTCCGAGGTGCTGTCATATTTTATGGCTTATTCTGATTTAGATATTTATGAAAGTGTTGTACATCTGTTATGACATACAAATTTGAAAAAAATATTGTAAAAATATCAACTTAGTATGTGAGGTAACATGATGTACACATATGTGTACTTTGGGACTGAAGCTCCTTGAAAACATTAAAATGCTACTCCACATTTACATTCGTACAATAAGAAAAAAGCTATCTCTGTTGCAACAAAAAATCTGTACATTGTCCCAGTGAAATAAATAACAATCAAATCACTAAATACATACATACATACATAGATTAGTTGGCTTGAAAATGTTGAACATCTAAAAATTTACTTCACTTACTTACTAATTTACAGCTAACTCTGATGCAGCTAAAACACTGTACATTGTACCATTGATATAATAATGCATAACTACATACATAAATTACATTTCATCTGGTTAGGGTTATGTTTCTAGAGCGTTTTTCTGTACAAAGAGCATTAGAGCTACTTGGGTTACTTGATGGAGAGAACTTGGATTTGGACTTGTCTGACAATGATGATTGTATCATGGATGAAAATGACCAAACATCATCACAGGAGCAAAGCAACAGTGAAGATGAGGACCCCAATCCTGAGCCCACACAGCACAGCAAACCTAAACGATTGTGTGTTGCAGATAATGGTTAGCCAAGACCTAGTATATATTTTGATTTTATGTAGTTAGGGCCTCAGGACTACATGAAGAACTGGCAGCAAATGCAAATTAACAACTCTTGTTGACAGGTTCCTGGTCAGGGACAGAAACAGGGGCAGAGACAGCTACAGGTTCATCCCGCACTTGCAAATGTCACTGTCAAACTCAAAAGACTGACACTGATAGCTCAGAAGATTTGGACAAGCCAACACCAGGACCAAGCCAAACCAAGAAAAAGGGAGTGTCCAAACAGGGTAATCATTATTATTTTTGTCTTTTAGTATTATTTTATGTATTTATTATCATGAATTTAATTTAGTATTATTTACACAATACATACATTTTTATAACTAAATAAATACATATATAAATAAATACATAAATAAATATAAAAATACATACCTAAATCTGGTTGTGCAGGACGTGGAATTTGCGGGAAGGCAACTCCATTGACCCCAAACATTGCAGAGTATCAGCTTCAGGACAAAACTGATCTAGACAGACATGACGGGACCCACGAGACTATGGTCAGAACTAGACAGAGATTTGATGGCAATGATTGCAGAATGCTCTAATGTCATGTATGTGTTTTTAATACATGCAAAATCAGTCAGGAAAAAAAAAAACTGAAAATAAAGAGTTTTTCTTTCCATTACTCAAAGGGGACTTTCTTGTGTTTTATGGAGATTTACACCAAGAGTCCACATATGTGGACATCAGTTTTCTCCAAAAGTACACAATATCAAAATCTGATACTTAGTTTTTATTCTAATTAGGTTCCAATAATCCCAAATAGCAAAGAGAAATTAAAAATGCACGTAAAAAACCCTCTTGGGCCTTAGGAGGTTAAAGCCAAAAATCTCAATCCATGCTGAAAAGGCACGAAATCTTCTGACTTTGAATGTATGTTAATAATTTTGTTAACTATTGTTGTAATATAAGATGTTTCTGATATTTATTTTTCAAATTAAAAAAATCATTAATCATACCAATATATGATTTCTGAAATATTAATTTCACAAATGTATGTAAAAGTGAACTATGAATGTCTTAGTTATGAAAAACACATTATGTTAAATGCATCATCTGATACAAAAGATACAAAAATTATATATATATACACTGTATATGTGTGTGTTTTTTTTGTTTTGTTTTTTTATTATTATTATTATTATTTCACAATGTACTTCCATGTTTACAATTTAGCACAATATGGAAAAATAAAGACATTTTCAGTGTGGTAAACACTGTACCAACTTTACCAAATATCAAGGACCTATGCTGATGTGCCCTGGTCCTGGAGAATTTATAAAGTTCAAATGTTAACATGGCAAATTATTAAGGCACTCTGTGTGATTTTTAAGCACTTCAGCTAATTAATGGACTAAGGTTCAAATGTATTACCCACAATTTGTAAGAATTACTATAAAAAGGGAACCTGATATTTTACAAACATTTATCAAGCTTGGACAGTTTAAGTATTGTATTATTCTGTAGCAGAGATCCAGAAAATGTTTAAAGAAGCCCTTCCAAAATTAGTTAACATGACCTACATGTATTAGTGGCATACAACAAATGGTTAACTTATTACTACAGTGTTTGACAAATGTACAGTGCAAACTAGTACAACTTTGTCAAATTTCTAGAAGACAGAAGAAAGTCCAGTTTTTGCAATGTTTACTGTCAAAACATAAAGGCATTATCCTAATCTTAGGTTCCTTCACCTCTGAACTAGGACTACTGCACAACTGAACCACTGTCAGTTCTAAAGGAGACATTTCACATTTTTCAGGCTACTTTGGGATGTAAGTGCAATAAATGTTTCATAATTTACATCAATGGCTAATTTAAATGTTTGGGGTCTGACAAACTGTGGCAGTCAAACTACATTGGGACTAGTGCCGTGCAATTTGGCCAAAAACTAAATATAGAATTATTGCACATTTTGGATGATTTTTTACAGCAGTGAGTGCTGCTTTTTCAAACAGGAGAGAAGCTAATACTACATGTTTATAGCATTCATATCGTACCATTTATTTGTACGGAGTATTGCCTACATTTACCTTTATGTAAGATCAAATATGTAAAATCAAATATTGCTTTTATTAGAATAAGTACTTCACCAATTTTTTTTATTTATTTTCTTTTTCAATTGAATCCAGATGTAGCCTGTAGATTGTTAACTGTTAATCTATCTCAGTCAATTCATTGCCGATTATTAAAACACAAATTACCCAAGCCTAATTTTGCCATATTACATTTGTGACATTGCTAAAGTTTGGACTGTAAATGCCCCACACCTACAGAGTGTAGAAAAGAGTTGATCGTGCTGAGATATTCCTCTGGATGTCTCTTGAGGTGCCCGGCATGTGTAGACTCCTCCCATCTCTTCCCGGTAACAGTGATGCCTGCCTTTGTCCAGTAGTCCACAATGCGGTCTATCGTCTCCCAGTTGCTCATTATGTCATTCTTACAGTAGAAGAACAGAGCAGGGGCTTTGACCGGAGTGTTCCAGAATACGTCTATGCCTTTGTCAAAGTAGTCCACCGTCTGACGCTTGAACAAGCTGAAGTACGCCAGGCTGGCCTGTTTGATCACAGACTCCATACGTGGGAACAACGTCCTACCCAATCCTGTGGAAGCAAGAGAGGGAGTAAAGAGAAGCAGCTATGTATAGCTAAGTTTACAATAGTGAGCAGGTCAGATGTGAGTCCCACTTTGTGTGGCACTGCAGCATTTTCAGTTCAAATCCTGCATCCCCATTTCACTGTCAGCACTATAGAAAACGTAATTTTTATTAGGAGATGCATAAAGCACTCAACAGCAACCACTGACCACACAAATCCACTTGTGAGAGAAAGTTCTCTCTCTCTCTCTCAACTTAAGACTTCTAGTGGCCTATATATATATATATATATATATATATATATATATATATATATATATATATATAATATATAGCTGCCACATGCCAAATAGGAAGTTCACATGCAGGCTCTTCCAGCTCCTATTGACCTTGGCTCCCACTAACTTACATTGGAATATTGTTATCCCTTTCTCTGTAACTGCTGATTGTAAGCCTCATCATTTTCATCTTAAAATTTTAGTATTAACCCTGCACTACATGAGCCTGGTGTCTTTTTTTTTTTGCTATCTTGTTCTTCAAAAAAATCCTATTCATAATATACGTAGAGCATGGCTCCAAATTTGCCTCTGTAACCACTAGCAAGCATCATCTGAGTGGTGCCGAACGCTGTGGGGGACGTTACACTTGCTTAGTCCACTTTTTTATACAGTCTGTGTTTTACCCACTGCAGAACAGGCCTCACTGTGAAAACTGCAAAAAAAATATGCAATGAAATATGAGAGGAAAATGTAAAAAAAACATAACATAATTAAGGTATTATGTAACATTTCTGGTTGGCGTCTGACCTGGTAGTCCTCATTTATATCAGAGATGTTAGTCTTCTGTGTGGTGTGTGACACTTTATCTCCATGGATAGTTAAAGCTATGGAGACGAGACTCACACATTTTAGCAATAAAGATACTTATAACAAAAAATATCCAAGAGAGATCAGTTTTAAGTAATACGGTGGAAAACTCAGAGCAAAGTAATAAATAACAATCTCCATGGAGACAAGCAGGTGGCAGAACCAGAAAAGTTAAGATACCTTATCTGCATTTTAATGTAAAATATAATACATCAGAATGTACAGTGGTGTGGATGAAGGTTAGTACTTCCTTGTTTTCCAAAACTAGGACACAACCCATGTTTTTGTTTTTTATGCATTTGATCATTTAATTAACACATTCATGTAAAAAAATGAGGCAAAACAAGAGCATTTGTAAAAGCTTAAAAATGCTTGATAGTGAATGGAAATGTTATTGCTTTGAACACATGAGGATCATACACACCTGTGGCCATGTGGTCCAGGGAGCCGGCCACCACACTGTCATACACCTGGCCTTTGATTCTACGGGTCAGGCTCTCATACTGCTGTATGTCCCTGGATATGTGCACCAATAGCTGGGCAAACGTGTATGCTCCGATAGAGAAGGCATGCACCAGCAGGGGACGTGATATGAACTGATCATTCTGTAAAAGGTCCAGGATCTTCCGGCTGTGGTCCAGCCCCAAACGCGGCCACAGGAAGTGAGCTACCTGCATAGAGAAACAGCAGCACTATGACTTTGGTTCACATGACACCACAACAGGGTTGTCCAAACACTCTTAGGCATAATGCCCAAATGATCATGAGTTGTATTTGACCTCACTAACAAACAGACCTGAAAACAATATACCAATACTTATTTAAGGTATGGGTCATTCCACGCCATTTCAATAAATGGCCCACGCACTTCGATCTAAAAAAAATTTGAAAAAATTATCAAATAGTCCCTTACTATCATGTACCAACCCTGTGAAGTTTTAGTAATTTTCGATCAATACTTTTTAAGTTACAGCTCATTTAGTGAGGGGAGTATGTGTCAATTACGGGCCTAAAATGCACGCCATTTTTTCTCTGCTGTTTTCACAGGTCGATATCTCAGTAAGTATCACACACACAGGGCTGAAACTGTGTAGGCTTGTAGTCCTGTACTCTGTGTTCACATAACATCTATCAAAAGTTCGGTATCTCAACTCATTGCCATTTTATATGAACTTAAAAATGAAAAAAAAAAACTTGTTTATTTCCATGGTGTACCATTTTTAGCCCCTTTTTAAACCTACTTGTAGGTGTCAGAGACACTTACATTTTTTTGAGAATCAAGATATGTACTAGGACTGTTAAAAGAAATCACTAAATGTTGAAAATTTGAAATAGGTTATGTGTGAGGGTCCTGTTAAAAACAAGAAAACGCAACATGGTCTGTAATTTATAGCATGTGGGTAGTGATAAAAAAAAAAAAATTGAATATTTTTTTCCTGAAAGACCAGAAAAAAGACCTTTCACATGGTACCAAACATATGTATTTTATGAAGCTCCTTCAATTTTTTATTGTATCTTGAACATTCGTGTTTTTGAGGTTTCGGTTAGGGTTAGGGTTCGGCACGAGTATACAGTGACCATGTACTATGTTTTATTCCAACAGCTAAGGTCGCTAAACATTTAAAAACTGAGTCAAATGGTTTGGTAATACTTTTAATGTGACAAGGTATCTGACAAGGTGACAAGTTATCTAACATCCAAGAAAACAGCTGTAGATTATTCTCATATTAAAGAAACAAACATGTTCAACAATATGTGGAAGGCACATTGATGTTCAAGACTATGCAAACGTTACAGTAGATTTTGGTGCACAAACATCTGGAAGCAGCCAAGAAGTGAGGAAACAGTTCCCCAAGAAAGTCTTATGAAGCCTTAAATGGAAAGTGTTAAGGTTGTCCATTTAAGTGAAACTGAAGGATTTGTGGGAATTTATTGCATATAAAAAATTCATAAGGGGTGGACCTATATAGTTCCAAATGCACGTTTGTTTTGAAGTTTTTTTTGTTATATATTTTAAGAGAGCCAGTACATGTTTGGATCACCATGGGACCAAAAGCCTACTCCCAAGAAATTAATAAAGTGCACAGATGACGAAGCACCTGATTCAAGTTACAAGGCCACACCCCAGTCAACATGGTCAACTGAACCATCTAAAAGCAGTCCACCAGGGAAGAAAAAGCCACCACAGTTTGAGGAGAAATCTGGTGGTCAGGGTTGTGGGGACTGTCCATGCTGCCTGGACCTCGGCAAGAAAATCAAAAAGCTTCAGAACCGACTGCAGATTTATGAAAATGTGCCTACCGATACTGCTACGAAAAAGACATGCATGTTCTGGGTTCTGGGTTTTTAGATATCTTGTAACACATCCTGTTGATTCATTCTTGTTCATTCTTCATGTTTGGAACTTTAGCTGCTGGAATAAAACATAGTACATGGTCACTGTATACTTGTGTCATTGTGTCAAATGTGAATGTTCAAGATACAATAAAAAATTGAAGGAGCTTCATAAAATACATATGTTTGGTACCATATGAAAGGCCTTTTTCTGGTCTTTCAAGAAAAAAATTATTCCAAAATTTTTTATCACTACCCGCATGCCATAAATTGCATGTGAAAAATCGAACGTTACATTTTCTTGTTTTTAACAGGACCCTCACACATAACCTATTTCAAATTTTCAACATTTAGTGATTTTTAACAGTCCTAGTACATATCTTGATTCTAAAAAAAATTCAAGGGTCTCTGACACCTACAAGTAGGTTTAAAAAGGGGCTAAAAATGGTACGCCACGGAAATGAACACTTTCTTTTTTCTTTTTTTTTTCTTTTTTAAGTTCATATAAAAAGACAATGAGTTGAGATACCAAACTTTCGATAGAGGACTACAAGCTTACAAAATTTCAGCCCTCTATGTGTGATACTTACTGAGATATCGACCTGTGAAAACAGCAGAGAAAAAATGATGCGTATTTTTGACACATACCCTCCTCATAAAATGAGCTGTAACTTAAAAAGTATTGATCGAAAATGACTAAAATTTCACAGGGTTGGTACATGATAGTAAGGGACTATTTGGTAATTTTTTCAAAATTTTTAAAAAACATGATGCGTGAGATTTTCTGGAAATTTGATGAAATAGCGTGGAATGACCCGTATGTGAGTTTGTCAAAGCTGTGTCCCTGCTTAGACATTTGACTCAGTGGCCTGGCATCTACAGAAACAATTAAGTTTTAGGGTGAGATTATCTAAATATTGGTAAAAGTGAATGTTTATTAGAAGATTTTAATAGTTACTTCATTAATATCAGCAATGCCTAATGAAGGTGACAGATTTTTGTTATAGGAATGTTTAACCTACAGGTGCATATTGACACCTTACTAGTCACAGGGAAAGGGCAACAACTGTATTACCCAGTACAGCCTTCATTATTATTCTCACAGACTAAAGGCCACTGCAGTGACCTGATCATACAAATATCAAAACAACCTGGAGAGTCCATTTAAAATCAATATTTGTATTAGAGAAACGCTAATTAATTGTGGAAAAATGCTCTAAAAATCCTCTGATCACCGCCATAACAGACTTCTGGTGTGTGTAAGTTGACTGTGCCTGACACCTATTAATGTTTACCTCAGCTTTCTTAAGGAAAGCTGAGGTAACATTATAATAGGAACAGCCCCTTACCTCACTGGTGACCACAAGCACATCCAGGCCCGTGCGAAAGTAGATGTCGCAATACCTGGCCACAGAGTGAGGCCTGGAGCCCAGCCAGGGAAGCATGAGCAGCAGGGGCCGGGGCTGCTCCTCCACAGGGCCCGGGGCTTCTCTGGGGGACGCCGCAGGGGCCAGCTCATTCACATAAAGAGTCACATTCTTGCTGAGGTACTGAGTGCTGATGCCCCTGCTCAGCATAGCACGTGGAAACATCTGTCAAAAGCCTGCTGGGACCTGCCTGCGGAGACGGGGGCTTCACTTATAAGGTTTCTATTGGGAAAAAAGACAAGTATGAAGTGCTCATGAAATCAGCGGTAGTTTGTTGATAAATAAATTGGGCACCCCCGTATAAAATGTTGAAAATCTCATGTCATGATCATCTCATGTCAAAGGCCTTAAAGAGACAGGCAATCAATTAAGGTTAAAGTACATGTGAGTCATTGTGACCAAGGCTTTACTATCTCTGTAGGGAAATTTGTCCTCTGCACTTAGCCCATCCTTCTATGCTGCCAAGGCCACCTCTCAGGAGCAGGGACCCCCCCAGATCTATAGTAGCTATATAATAGCTATATGTTTAGGACCACCTTACCTGCAGACTGGGTAGTACATTGACTAATTTGAGCTACTTGAATAACTTTTTAAATAAGTTGTACTTTTCTAGCATCATACTTTTACTCCTATAGTATTTGAGTAGTGGCAGCTAGTCAATATAGAGCGCAAGTGCACTGCACTCCCTAACTTAACTTAGATAAAAATTAATTCTAACAACTTCTTGAAACATCTTGAAAGGCACTATATAAATGCAATAATTAATAATAAATTAATGGATTATTTTTCAATATCTTCCCGGTCAGGTAACTTGAAAACTCCAAACTAAATAATTACAGTAGTTCTAGTCCTCAGGCACGCATAGCTTCTACAGCAGGAGATTTAGAAACCTCAAACCATGTTATTATAGTAGTCCTAATCCTCAGGAATCACGCACACTTTTTGTTTTTCCAAATTAACCCTTTGTGGAACTTTTATGCATTTGGTCCCCTCGAAAACCAGTGATTTTTTTTCACTAGTTTTAAAGGCAGGTGATCTATAATAATTTGGTTTGGGGTTGCTAGTAGTCTTAGTCCTCAGGTATCATGCACTCCTTTTGGATTTCCAAATTCATTCTTTGTGGGATTTTTATGATTTTTCCCCCCTTGAAATTAATGTTTCTTTCTTCCTCAAAAGAAACATTTGTGTTTCTTGCATCGCTCCTGTAGTAGTGTAGTTTTCTTGTGTCTATCCTTTGAAATACTAGATACTGTGCATTAATAATGCTTTGTTTTTCACTTAGTTTTTAACTTAAATTTATAAATTAGATGTTGCATCCCAACAACTCTTTCTTCTACTTGGTTTGGTTAATATAGTGGCAGTGTTTTTTTATAATAATAATAATAATAATAATAATAATAATAGTTGTTGTTGTTTTTCTGGGACACACCATACACAATGATGCAGGCTCAGAAGGAAGAGGGTTGCATTACAAATCGCACAATCAATAGACGGACTAAAGCAAGTCTTTTTCTCCGATTTGCTTCTGACTTTTAGACAGCAAATGCAATTACATAGATCTTTCACTTGTAGCTCACAGATAGAGCCAACGTCATCTAAACACGTCGTAAACATTTAGCACAAACTCACCCCGTATGTAACCAAGCTCATTAGACATCTTTCGTACCTGAAAATGATGCTGCTCTTGGGTCTGTTTACTTGTGCCCTTCCAAGTACTTAGCTAACAGACAAAAGTTAATATTAAGAGCTAAACAGCCGCCTGTGCCAAGTCCTCCAACAGTCCGAGCCCGAAAGGTTATGCGTCATGACGCACACTCCAACCCTCTCTTCTTCGTCTCGGAGACACTAGAGCTGATCGATTGCTGCCATCAAGTGGGGAAGAAGGGTAAAAAAAAGGATTTCAGGTAATGAACTCATTGGGGTCAGCAGAGGACAAGGGCAGTCAGTAGCTAAATGGCTCAGTTTTGTAAAATAAAATACAACTCTTGCAGTGTGTGCATGTATGATTTTAGACATACACTAATGCATAACAAACAGCGCAAGTTGTTTGTAATGTCAGGGTTTTAACAATTTACAATGTACCGCTACAAAAATGTTAATAAATAATCATCAGAAAAATACGTTTTGCAGGCAATTACTAATATTAGAATATTAGTAAGATATTATTGTAACAAAGGCTCGCTGAGGCGAGATTGAAAGGAATCTGTGAAGGCCTACGCAAATTCTGCAGTGGACATACTTTTGGATACACTATTGATTTTGGAAGTGTTGTGAAGAATGAATGGGAGTCCCAGGTGAGTACAAACTGTTCTGTTCTGTCCTGTTTATAATAAGCAGGGTGTTTATTACTGTTTAACACCAACAGTCCAAAATCTGTGGCAAAACTTACAAAACTGAAATCATACTTAGATAATATTTCATATATAAACATGAATGTGTCAAGTCTGAATCAAATCCATGAAAGTTAAGTTCAATTTTTATCCTGAAATCTGCCAGTTTCCCATGGAATGGCCCTACATACATTCTATGGCCAAATGACGAGTATGGAATATTATTTCTGTTATAGCAGGTGATCTGTTGGAGACACAGAGCTCATTTTGGGCTTAATTTGAAGTTGACAAATTGGGTTTTCTATTTAATTTTATTTATTTTATTTAAGACATTTTATAAAGTTCATTAAAACATAACTGGAGTTGTGTTTTCATTCACACATGTTTGCATAATACTTTATTATAAGTCTGTCTACATCACAAAAGCTCAAAATACTCTGTTGCACCTTGTGAAGTCATGAAGTGATAGTTTTCAAGTTAACAGCTATTTTTTTACTTTTAGTTCAGAGATTGGCAATTCCAGAACTGAAATCATCTAAATTAATTTAGCAGAAGTGTATGGAGTTTAAAAGCAGTGTGGAGCACAGACGAACTGTGCTTGTCTGTTAAACATGTCAAACAAAATGGAACAACATTATAACAGATAAGAAAATAACATAATATGTGCCCCTTAACGTCTCCAGTGGCAAAAAAGGTTAGCATACTAACTTACTGCATGGTGACAGCACAGGAAAGCAGGGTCCATCCGTGATAAAGGAGCTGGAAGTGGACAATGCCAGGCCAATGCCAAGCCAAACACATGAGCTCACACTCACGGTGTAAAGTCAATGGGCAAATGGTGTGTGTTTGGACAAGTGATCCTTCAACAAGAGGCAGTCAGTGGGAGGCCGAGTGTCCAGAGGGGAGAGGGGACAGAGGAGATAGAAGGGGACCAAGCTGCACAAGCAAAAGAAGACAACCACATGCACAAGCAGAGAGCAAAGCTGTTGCTGTTAAGTGAGAGGGGTGCCTACACTTTTTATGTAAATCTGGCATTTCTAGAATCAACAATCACTATTAATAAAAAAGCAAGATAGATAAGTTTAATAGTCTAAGCAAAGCAATAACAGCTTTATGGAGACTAACTGGTGGTGGACCCCTATGAGAAAAGTTGCCCCTTTAATATCTATCTGTTAGTATCATAATGAAAATAGCCATGCTGCTAATTTGTTATTTTACTGTTGCCAGCAGAATTATATAATATTTTTGTTATAAACATCAAATACTGACAGAAAAAATTCTAAATATTAAAAGTCCTGTACCCAATTTTATTTAAAATTTTCCCATGTGTTTGAGCAAAATTCATCTTGGTTCAGTACAGATATATCCTGTAAGGAACTCTTGAGGTCAAAATAAGTCTGCTGTGTGCTTTCTAAATAGAGAACAGTTTATTGTCAGATAATCAGGAAGTGCAAATTAGTATGCTAGTTGTTGTTGGCTTTACCGTCATGGCAAAACTCCATTCTGGCCCATGAAAGCTGTGATAAGCTCACATTTTGAACTTAAACTTAAACTTAGATTTAGCAGAGGTCAGTGAGAGCTTCATATGTAGTATTTTCTAAGTGGACCGTTGTCTATTTTAGAATTGTACTGGGGAATTGAATTAGGCCACGCGACGGCTGGATTTCCCCCACTGATTAAACACAGCATATCCTACCCTGACCGAGGCAAAAGCAAATGAAGGAATGCAGGAATTTAACCAACAACCTCCACCAGTCACACGTGGGTTACACTCAAGTATAAATAAATGGTGTTTGTAAAAGAATAGTATTGCTGCATTCTGTCCAGTAGCTTTACTTGTTTTAAGGATTCATGATCACAATGTTAATAATATTGACTGAATATTGACAGTAATGCACTTAAAGGTTCACCATGTAGTTTGCCTGTACACTATACCACAGACAGTGTCTTAAAGAATATATTTAGTTATAGAATACTGACCTGTATTAAAATGTATTTTGTAATGTATTCTGACACATTGGCCAGTCAGAGTACTGTATTCTGAATACTTAGAATTCTTTTACATCGAGTTGCATTTAAATTAAAGTGTACAGATGAAACATAGAACTTATAGTGTTAGTAGCCTATTAACAGCGTTATATTTCTTTTACTGTTTTTAAAGCATTTATCACTAACTGAAGATGGAAAAAAATACACATGCACTCACAACAAGAACTGTGTTTTTCTCATTGATTCTGTGCAGTCTGAAGCCTAAGTTACATGATCAAATACCATAATGTATTCCTTTAATTTTAGAAAACTAACTGTATTCTGAATACCGCCAAATGGTATTGTAACTGTAACTAGAATACAGTTACTCAAAAATACATATCACTAGTACATGTATTCAGGTGCTTCCCAGCAGTGACCACTGAACAAGAGAATGACTGAATTATGGACTCCTAAAGCTCTATGAAAAAAGTTGTCTAGCCCAAGCTGCACAATATATGACCCATAATGATTGTTCTTTCTCTCGTGGCTGCGCAGTATGCCCTCTGGAGACTGCTCCTTCTTGATTGTTTGCTCCAAACTACTGCACCACTTGTAAATCACAGGAAAGCCTTTTACATTGATCTACCGCACTGACGAACCCACACGGCTGCGTGTCCTGACACATTTTATGCACTCTCCTATGCTCCCTCTGCCTCTCTCTACTCCACGCTCTCCATTCGACGTTTGAACCAGTGCTTCCCATCCTCATGAACAGAACTGCGTATATAGCCTAGCCTGTCTGGTCGGTGCAGCCATGGAGCACAGTGGGTGAGGGGGAAAGGAGGAGGGGTCTGTCCCATGTGTGGACTGTCTAACACCAGATAGAGAGAGGGACCAGTGGAATGCAACACAAATGTGCACTGGAGAGATTGGACTGCTGATGGAATTGAGAGCACAGCAGAGAAGATGTTACGACTATGCAGGAGAATATGTGAGTGTCCTCTTTTATCTTCTGTTTAAAATATGCATTGCCTGTTCTTTGAAGCCAGCAAGCTCTGACAATAAAACCACCAAATGCTCTCATGCTCTCATCTCATCTTATATCATGTTTATCCTGTGCTAATTTTGTACAAGGAAACATCAGTGTATGCAGTAGCTTTCACACCAGATGCCTGTCCATTCGAAGATGAGTTGGTACTGTGAAGTCTAACTATGTGTTAGCCCTGCATCATTGGTTCTTCATTGTCATTGCTGTTACATCATTGGCCCCGTTGAGTGCTGCTACATTACTGGGTATTGTTAGCAGGGCAGTAGACCCATGTGAGTCTTCTTGCCCTGGCCCCCCAAATTTCTGTTGGCAAGCCTGCCTGTTAGTGCTTTTATTCATGTGTCATTGTCATGTCATTGATCCAAAATAGTTAGTGATGTTACAATATTACTGCATCAGTCAGGTATGTTGAGTAATTGGGCCATATTACTGTCAGTGGTGGGACTCCATTAGTCCAATGTTGTCAGTATTGTTACACCCCTGGTCCAGTACTGTCACGTAATTTCTTCATAAAGGTCAGTGCTTTTGCTGCTCTGTTACACCATTGGTTCTTCACGCTCAGTGCTGTTACACTGTTGGTCCCTAACAATCAGAGCTGTTTTCCTACTGGTTCATACTAATCAGTGCAGTGACATTATTGTTCCATAACTCTCAGCTCTATTAAATCATTGGGTCATAAATGTCAATGCTGTTACACCATTGGTCCATAACTGTCAGTACTGTTACATCATTGGTCCATAACTGTCAGTACTGTTACATCATTGGTCCATAACTGTCAGTACTGTTACACCATTAGTCCATAACTGTCAGTACTGTTACATCATTGGTCCATAACTGTCAGTACTGTTACACCATTAGTCCATAAGTGTCAGAGCTGTTACAGCATTGGTCCATAACTGTCAGTACTGTTACATCATTGGTTCATAAGTGTCAGTACTGTTACACCATTAATCCATAACTGTCAGTACTGTTACATTATTGGTTTATAAGTGTCAGAGCTGTTACATCATTGGTCCATAAGTGTCAGAGCTGTTACATCATTGGTCCATAACTGTCAGTACTGTTAAGCCAATGGTTCAGTTTTCACAGTGCTACTAGATCATTGGTTTATCACTATCAATGTTGTGTTATTTGGGAGGAGTGCAATATTGGGAGAGTACAATAGGAACTGTATTTTAAGGCCAGTTTGTGTGCTATGTGGTTGTGAATATGTTTAATGCGTTTTTTTGTGTGTGGATTGCATATCCCTCGGTTAGTAGACAGTGCATTGTTCTTGTACTTGGATGGGAGACCACTGGGAAATTCAGGCTCCACAGTGGGAAGCCAGATGCAAAAACTGTTGTTGTGTCCTTAGGCAAAGCACTTCACCTACACTGACTAGTATAACAGTGGTGTGTGCGTGATGGTGGTGGTCGGAGGGACCAATGGCACAGGTTGGCAGTCGTGCTTTCGTCAGTCTGCCCCAGGGCAGCTGTGGCCACAACAATAGCTTATAACCACCAGGTTTGGAGTGAATGAATAATGATCTGTAAAGTGTTTTTGTGACATAGTGTATGCCTGTGAAAACCGCAATATCATTAAAAACTTACTTACCTACTTGCTGTCAGCGCTGTTACACCATTGGTCCATTACTGTCAGTACTGTTATACCAATCCGTCGGTACTGTTACTCCATTGTTCCATAACTGTCAATATTGCAAAATTTTTTTGCTCATAAATGTCAGTGTTGTTATGGCATTATTGGTCATTGCCATTCTATGCCATACCTGTCTTAATAATATTTAATTTTGGATCTGTTTTTTGCAGATCACCTGGCATTTGAAACGCTCTCAATCCTCCAAGTCCAAGTTCAAGTTCCAAGCATAATGTGACTTGAAAGTCTTAACACCGCCATGATGTTTTTATGGATCTTTTATGTTTCCATGCCCTTTATCTTCTGTAGTTCTCTCCATGTGTTGGCAATACCTGGAGAAGGCCACTTGGGAAATGGTTTGTCTTCATATCATACAGTGAAAAGGAGTTTACTGGAATTACTTCTGCAATGGTCAGCAGCACCGGAGGACAACCAAGGAGTCCTAGGTGAATACACAGAAACGGAATATGTCCAGGAGAGTTCTGAGATGCCTGGCGATGTCCAGACAATAAGATCTTCACAGGAGCAGACATTCAAATATGAGATACATGGAAGTACTACAGAACATGGAGAGGAACAACCAACTTCTAAAACATGGAATGAATCTGTTGTCAGCACAGGTGTGGATCTACTTGTGTCAGCTGGGACTCCAGCTACACCCACCAAGAGCTGGGAATGGACATCTCCTGCAACTAAACAGGACCATAGCCTGGAGAGTGGCATGAGCATTACAAGTAGTGAAGGTAGGATTGGGTGTAGTCTGTCTCCATATAATAGAATTCTATGGTATTTCAAGTGGTGCAACATCACAAAGTAAAAGTATTAAAGTACTGTATTTAAGTATACATTTTTACATACATTTTAAATGTCTACTTTACTTAAGTACATTTTGAACTGGATACTTTTGACTTCACTACATCTTAGTGCAGGTATCTGTACTTTCTACTCTACTACATTAACAGGACTGAAAAGTAAAAGTATTTTTATTATTGCGTGAGCCTTGTTGAAAAAGCCTGAAGCTCTATTTTTAACACATTTGTAGTTTGAGCCCAAAAAAATACAAAGAAAAGCTAGAAAAAAATGACTGACTCAGTTGTTTCTACTGGACAAAACTCAGCACAAATCTTATATCAAAACAAAACATTTACAGCCTAAAATCTGTGCAAGACCTTTACTTTTTGCTCTTTACATTTTCAAAAGGGTACTTATTCCACCATATTTCTTGTGAGCTATTCTGATTTGATATTGAATGGCTACTTCTAAGATGGATAAAATTAACTTTAGAAATTGTGGAAATAGTATAACATACAGTATACATGTGGCACTGCACATTTTGGGTCTTTATCTGTGGGTGTTGCCACAGCAAACCACTTGTTTTGGGTTTGGTTTATATTGAATGCATTTCCTGACGCATGACTAGATATACTAGACTGAATAGACAATGACAGTATGTGCCAGAGTGAGTCAAACACAAAGAAAGCCATTACCAACAACATAAGACTATATGATCAACATCAGAATGATCAGAATGTTTCACAGTATATGACATGACATTTAACATTATTAGTGCAGCATATATGCATAGTGATTTTGATTACATATTTCATAGCACTGATATTGCTCAAATCCAAATCATACAATACATCATATATAATACACTACCAGTCAAAAGTTTGGACTCACCATCTTATTCAGTGTTTTGTTTAGTTTTTTCCTATGTGTTTACTTTGTAGATTTGATGTAGATACAGATGACATCAAATATATGAAGTAAGATGTATGGAATTATGTGGCTAAATATATTTATATTTTAACACAAATCCTCAAATTAGCCACCTTATGCTTTGTCGAAAAATATTTAGTAGCTATTTCATTTTCTTTCTTTACAAAAAAAAATCTTGCTTCATAAATTTGATGTCTTGTTTTATTTAAAATGTAGAAAGTGGTAAGAAAAACAGAAAAAAAAAAAAAAAAAAAAAACATTGAATGAAGGAGTGTGTCCAAACAAAAAAACAATGATGGAGATGAGGAGATTTGATTTTTAGTGTTTTTTGACACTATGCAAATGCATGTTGAGAAGATAGTGCCTGCAATTCACACAAAACAAATTATTTCCACCTTTACCCTCGCAGTGCATTCTCTTAAGTGCTAGCCAAACACACTGCCCTGTCACTGACCTGCCAAGTGTCCACAAAGACTGTTGGATTAGCACCAGTCTGCCACAATGAGTCTCTATTGACTCACACACTAGGCTACCGGAGGAGTAAACTCTATATTTGGTGTAATAGTCAAATATCATGGTACGGAATAAGGTTGAGTTTAGGGGGTAATAATCTTGCTTTTTTATTCAACCCCCAGGAAGCGCACTTGGCAACTAGAACCATTTTCACCCCTTTTAACCACATTTGGTCTAAAAAATAATGCTTTTTTTTTTTTCTAACCAAACTTTACTGTAAAAATGGGGCAAAACAAGAAAATAAGGTATTTTTAGATTACCCTTCTTCTTTTCAGTGATTTAATATTTAACTTCAAAGGCTTTTTCTTATAAAACACAACATTAACATTAAAGGCATAGGGTTATGTGAATGAAGTTTCAGGTAGGAAAAAAGCTGGTTATATAATATTGACTGCAAAAACCGCAAGACACAAAGTTCTCCATCTGTCAGAAATGTGCAGATTTTGAAAGTAAAATGTAAAAAAAGGTACTGTACATTTTATTAATAATTTCCCTTGTTCCCTGGTCTTGGTTTACTCTCTGTTAAGTTTTTATTTTGACACAGTTTTAATTAACTAATATTCTACTTGCACCTTAAATTCCATCCATCCATTTTCGTCCGCTTATCTGGGGCCGGGTCGCGGGGGCAGCAGCCTAAGCAGGGACTCCCAGACTTCCTTCACCCCAGACACGTCCTCCAGCTCCTCCGGGGGAACCCCGAAACGTTCCCAGGCCAGCCGAGAGACATAGTCCCTCCAGCGTGTCCTGGGTCTTCCCCGGGGCCTCCTCCCGGTGAGACATGCCCGGAACACCTCCCGAGGGAGGCGCCCAGGAGGCATCCGGAACAGATGCCTGAGCCACCTCAACTGGCTCCTCTCAACGTGGAGGAGCAGCGGCTCTACTCCGAGCTCCTCCCGTGTGACTGAGCTCCTCACCCTATCTCTAAGGGAGCGCCCAGCCACCCTGCAAAGGAAACTCATTTCGAGCGCTTGTATCCGCGATCTCGTCCTTTCAGTCATTACCCAGAGCTCATGACCGTAGGTGAGAGTAGGAACAAAGACTGACCGGTAAATCGAGAGCTTCGCCTTTCGGCTCAGCTCCCTCTTCACCACAACAGTCCGATACAGCGACTGCATCACTGCCGATTATATATTACAATATTACAATATTGCTATAATATTATCAAATACAAAACACGTTACTTATTGTTCTCACATAGTGCAGCCTTGAAAAAAACTCACACAATTCCAATGAGATTCTAACCAGGTACCCTCTGGTTGCTGGGTGACCACTTAACTCACTGTGCCACCATCTTCCTCTTTTATGAAGAAAACATATTACATAGTTATTACCTTACAAATGAATTCAGATGATTGTTCTCTGTTGTATACCCTCTTGTTGCTGGGTGACCACTTACCTCACTGTACCACCATCTTCCACTCTTACAAGTAGAAACATATTATATTGTTATTATCACATTATAATTGAGCTCAGACGATTGATTCTTTGACGTATTAGCCTCATGGTAATTCTGATTAAATATTGAAGGTGGCATTAGCAGGTCACATTCAATAATAGTCCTCCAGTTAAAATGAGAACATGCAGTGAGGTCGATACATGCTAATCAACAGCCTCTCTCTCTCTCTGTCTGTGTGTGTGACCCACTTACAAGCCCCCTGCTACAGCCCTGCTCTCTTTTATTATGGATTCACTCACACAGCTCGCTTGTGTCACTTGTCTATTTTTGGACTAGCAAACCAGGGTGCTCACTAATACCACTATGGGTTATGTTGGGCATCAAAATTGAAAAAGAGAGATGTTTTGAGGCATTTTATTCCATTCTAAATACAGAAGGTGCATTGTATAACTTTTCAGGTGAAGGGCCCGCCACCTGCTGTTCTCAATGTTTCACAGTATGACATTAAACCTAACTTCATCATGGAGACCAAACCAGACCAAGTTCAGTCAGAATACCTGTTTTTCTAGGTATTTAAAAGTAATAAAACTACATGTAATTGAATAAATGCAAGGTAGATTTGTTTAATGTCATACTGTGGAACATTTGAAGCTGAGCAATGCCGTATCCATAGAAACAAGCAGATGACAGACCCCCAAACGAAAAGTTACATAGTGAACCTTTAACATAGAGAAGGCATAGGTGTGTTGCTCTGTTATTTCTTTGTATCAATATAAGTTTGTGTTCAAGTACATACTGCCATTGTGTCCTCGAGCAAGACACATCCATATTGCCTACTCTGTGTACAACTGGGTGCAAATGTTGACGAACCAGAAAGTTTAAAGGTGCAGTATGTACATTTTCAAGAGTAGGAACCTCTAACTGCTTCTGTGGAGTTATTGCCTCCTCTGGGATATTACGAACTAACTATGACATTGACCATATCTGTTTATCTTTCACTTTATTCAGTTACAGGTGTTTTAGTGCTTAAAAATAAAAACTACCCTGAAAAACAAGCATCCTTACTATGAGAGGGTTACCGCTCCACAGATCTGACTCTGCTTGGTGGTAGGATATCACCTGTTGGTATTCATGGAGACAGATACATCTACTGTCATATGTGGAACGTTCCAAAGCAGGCAGGGAAACATCTCCACAGAGACAAGGAAGAATCAGATTTTATATAACACCAAGGTCACATAGTGCATCTTTAAGGTTGAGATAAGGTCCACATTATTCTGCTGCAATTATTCAATCACACTACAAAGTCTACACTGTACCTATCCTTCATTTAATTTGAGCACTTTTAATGTTTTGTCATTTCATCTCCACTAACTTACTTGAATTCACGTTTTTCTCTTTGTTACAGATGCATCCAGTGACTTCCAGAACACCACTATAGCTACCTGCCGATCATCCAACTATACAGATGACTCACCCCAAACATCAGACCCCCTCCACCTCTCCCTGCCTCTCAGCCTTAGCCTCTTCGTCCCCCTGTACTCCGACTGGAACTCCGCCCTGGCTACGTGGGGTCTGGCCTGGGAAGCACACGTCTACGGCTTGGGGTCTATCTTCAGCGCCATCGGCCTGGTTTCGTTCATTTGCATATTAGCTTTGCCGTTGCGATGTCCTCCTGGAATCCTCTATTTTGCTTTACTACATTTTTTCCTCCTCTCATTCACTGGTGCACAAGCTTTTGTTCTGATTTACGACGCGTACAGTTTTCAAGATCGCCTTCCACCACTAGCTTTGCTGCCAGTGAGTGCGCTACCATATCCGTGTTTAATACTAGCATTTTCCTCTACGTTTATTCTTCTGTCTTTACGATCAAACCTGCAAATTTCTCTTCCGATGGCAATATCCCCATCATTTTCCGCGCTACCCAAACCATGCTTTTTGGTTTCAATGTCTGTTCTCCATTTTGGGCTGTCACTAGGTTGCGTTGGCATACTTGAACTTTTTCCGAAACTTCCAACTATAATTCTACTGATTCCTCAAGGATTCTTTGTGTGTCTTTCAATTTTTTCATCTTTTTCATATTTTGTTTTCTACTGCCTGGTACAAGTTGATAGCAAGCACATTTACAGACTAAATGACAATGGCGAGAGTGGGGGTTCTCCTGAGGTAATTCGACCACCGAGATGCCCGTTTGCCCAAATGGAAGACTGGCAAAGAGCCGTACGATCGGGTCTAGCTGCGGCGATATTTTTGCTAAGTTGCGGAGGCTTGCAACTTTACGCTATCTTGCATTCACTCGGATATGGTGGGTACGATTACATAGGTTTCTACCCATGGCCTTGGTGGGGCTTCCAATTGGGTTGCCGAATTGCTGAGATTGGGGTATGCCTAGGGTTGGTGCTAATTGGGACACCACCTGTATTTTGTAAGAATTCAACCAAAACCCTTATCAAACCTCAAATGGGATCTTGGAGTCGGCTTTCACCTACACGAGAGTTAGAGTTAGCATCGGAAGGTGGCATCCTGTCCTCTCGTGAGTCTTGGGATCAAAATAAAATGCAAGATATCGGCAAAGAAAAGATGGACACTCTACCGCTTTGCCTGATAGATTCTCCTGGAAATGGGTTGGAATGTGCCCAAAGATCTAACCAAACAGTAGACCAACCACTACTTACGAAACAAAGTTCGTCATCCAAGCTTAAAATCGAAACTAACCCAACTTCTATGAATAAACTTGATTCAACCGTAGACCTACGTCCCCCATCGCCAATAAACCTATCCCGAAGCATTGATCAAGCATTGTACAGTGAATCCCTGTTTTCTCATAGCATATTCGAATGGCCAAGGCTTTTCCAAACCTCTTCAAATCTTTCTTTAAATCACCAGGCAAAATCTAGTTTGGTTGAGAATGGTCTATACCGCACAGCTTCTTGTAAAGATATGGAACAAGATATGCAAGCACAAAACAACCAATTACCAAAGCGATCGGAGTGGAAAGGAAGCATCAACGGGTCAACGCAAGAACTGTGCCAAAAGCCAAAGGAGATTGTGAAAGTGCGATCTCATTCGTGGGCCAATAGGGGGCACAATTTCACTCACAGCAGTCTACCCAGAGCAATCACGCATTTGTCGCATTATAAAAGGTTTCGGACTCTGAGCACAGCATCCCAGGACAGTAAGAGCTCCGTTAGGCTGGCTGGGACTAAACAGTTGAGTGAAAGTAAGCAGTTAGAATGGGATATGGCTGTGCAGGCAGAATTTGTCAATGTGTGTAAGCAGATAGATGCTCTGAGCGTGTGCAGTGACACTATTGATCTGTAGATTGGCGAGAGAAAGCAGAGTCTAATGTTAAAGTGCCTATGACAGGTAAGACTACTCATTTGACTAAAACATACTTAAAGGTGCATTGTGCAACTTTTCTGGTGTAGGGTCCATCACCTGCTTGTCACCATGGAGATGTCATTTTGGTCTAGAATGTTCCACAGTAGATATTAAACCTATCTATCTCAAGGGAGACAACTAAAGGCCACATTACAGGTTAGATCCATAGAAACAAGTAGGTGATGGACCCCTAACCAAAAAGTTACACTGTGCACCTTTAAGATCATATAATTAAGATTTAAAAAAAAAAAAAAACAAAAAACATAAATAATTAAATAAAATTCTTTTTCAGAGTTTGGCCAATATTTTTTAGGTTTATAATTCTACTTCTTAATTGGAAATCACAACATCACACAAAAAAATTCCATAACTGCAACCATGAAGTACACTGGCCCAAATCTCATCTAATGCACACAGAGATTACTTGACAAATAAAAATATAAGAAAACATCTTTATTTGTTGAAATCATGTTTAAAGTGTCAGAAAAATGTGGTTCTTGTGTAAAATGCTGGAACGTTAGCACAGAATTCTCCATAGTGTAGTCTCTAAAATAGAACTTGCCACTTCCTGTAATTTTCAACGTATTTTTCAAATTTTCTTTACAAATCGCATCTTGATTGGTGTAAAACTATCATTTATATTTAGAAGTCAAATTTATGTCAAAATTAGAGAATCTTAAAAACCGGTCATACACACTTTAATTTATCTTTTTATGCATGTGTTCTAACGCAGTGGTTTTCAAACACTGATAGGGTATGGTAATTCTTGTGGTTAGTGCTGGACTATAAAGCAATTAAATCGAAACAGCAATTTAAGTTGGTGCAAACGGTCAAATTGCAAAGGCTGCAGTTATTTAAATAATAGAAAGTCTACGGCAAAGAACAAAATCTCTACAAACATGTTTTGAAATGCATGAATTGTTGTATCACTTCATATTTCAGTCTTTTCAGTCTTGTCACAGAAATGCTAAAACTTCTGGAGTTGTTTACCATATCCTCTCTGAACAGAATACTACTTTTTAAACATAATATACTGCACATCTATTGCAATCTCAATACTTTTACTTATACCAGTACCTTTATAATTAAGAACTTGGTTTGTTAATATTGTCTAATCTTTTTTTTTTTTCTCTTTGACTCATGTAAGCCTTGTTTAGATAAGAAAGTATGGAATTTTAAAATATTGTCAAGAATATATTTTTAGTTGCTGAGATAAGTTTGAGGATCACTGATGTATAATTCTCTCTATTTTCAGTAGGCTATCTGTAAAACAGTAAATGTTTAATTATATTGGTTGTATGTAAATGTTTTGCATAATGAGGATACATGCATTATATTGTTATTTAAAATTTTACTTAAAACAATATATTTACTTTTGCAGTTGAATTGTTGCATACAGTATTTCGGTATGTATCGGCTGTATTATCTGAACTTGACTGCCCTCTAGTGGCTCAAAAATAATATGATCCAGATGCACCACTTGAATAACATTGAAAAAAGTCATATTACAATATAATAATAACATAAAACTTATAGAACAATGTGGACCATGCAGTGCACAGTTTTGTTTGTGTGAAACAAAGTAGCTCATTGGTCACCTATCATTTACAAACAAAATGACAGTTTCCTGCCCTCAAATCAACAGAGTTTAGTATTTCGTTCATTGATTCTGCAGAAATTTGCAATGTTTTTCATTCCTTTGTGATATTTTTTTTCTTATAAGCAGCCATATGGAGCTCAGTGGTGAAAGTCCGCTTTTGGTTCCATTCTGGAAGAGATTTCTCATTCGTTTTCCTCATAGACTTTTAAAAAAAATTATAATATTAAAAGTTTGAAAGCTTGTTCAGGGCAGCTATAGTTTTATTTAAAATCTGTTTGTAAAACTTTATAAATTGCAAAGTTATTAAAATATTTTACCAAATCTTGCTTTTTAAACTGCCTTGTTAAAACAACACTGTCATGGATATTAGTTACCACGTAGCTGGTTAGTCTCCGTAAGTCATTTGTCTCTTAATATTTGAGTTTTTGGAAAAGTCTATGGGAAATATTGAAAATTTATTTCTAATGCGAACTTCACAGCTCCATTTATTTTGATATGGACGATCCATGCATGTCCCTGATTGGTTTATCCACCTGTCAATCATGGTAATATGAACTGGGGGAAATTCACCAGACCAGACTCACATCTTCGCAGAGTTTAGAAGAAATGTGTATTCTGGGTCCCAGGCAAATACACATCCATCATAAACAAAAACAAAAAACATTATGACATAAGTAACAATCAAAATGTATTTATTTTCATCACCAGTAGACAAGACAGTGGACATGGGTTTCAAATCTATGAGAACTGTGGCAATTACAGCCTTAATCTGAAATTACCACGATCCTTTTATGTATACAGTTTCAACATAAAGAGATGGGACATATGGGACATAGAGAGAGTACATTGCAAAAATTATATTTTATAGAAAAATAGATCCACATAAAACTGCTACAAATCTATACAGAAATTCAGACTTTATATTTATTACACTACTCCAGTATTCAGTCTGATATTGTTCTTATGTACATTAGACAGGCATTTATTTATAGTCTTTGCAGATTTCTATATGCAGCAGATGTTTGTCTCACGTTGTAGGCAGCAAAATGTGCTTGTGAACTGAAGTTAACTTGACTTTTGTGAATAAAAACATTTTCTGTGATCAAATTTTAAAAGTACTGTACCTGTGTTTTTTTTTCCCCCTACATACTGGTACACAATTAGTTTTTTCTTGAGGTCAAAATGAGTCTACATCTAATTAGAAAGTATTTTATCAATGAAGTATTTTAAGTGCATGCTAGTTGTTCTTAGCTTTATTGTCACAGCAAAACTGCACTGATCTTTGAAAGTTGTGAAAAGTGTTTATAAACTCATGGTGATGAATAATTAAAATGCTCAGAATGCATAAGGTAACTGAGGAATAACTTTGGACAATTGCAGACTTAAAAATGAACTAGTTCTCTTTTCAAGGTACAGCACCTTTAAAGTTGATTCTAAAGTTTGGGTAACTTTGAAACATTCATTGTAACTCACTCATAAAAACACATACATGCACACAACACAACAGAAGTACACAGATTTCATTTATATAGTCATTTTTACAGTATGAGCAGTATTTGTTGGATATAGCTTTTTGGTTGTCTAAAACTACACTGTCAAAATAAGTTTTTGTTTTACCTGTCTCTTTAAAGAAGGGGTATTGTGCAAAATCAACTTTTTGGACCTTTCGTCCATTTTAACTTTTTTTTTCCTTCATCATAAACATGCCCTAAGAGGTTTTAGATGTAATCTCACATGTTTGACTAATCATGGGAACTTTTCCGAGTACTATTCAAACCCTCATATGAGCCCATGCTTCTTGTACAAGGCTCAACCCTATGTAAACCGATGCTCCTGCACAGGTATTTTTCATAAATATACAAAAGCAGAATACAAAACTATACACTATAACGTCCTTCTCAAATTTGATGTAATGTGCAGCAGTTTCTTTAGCAGGATGCACACTGGCTGTGTTGTGATAGAGGGAGGGACTTACTGCTGGGAGCAAGGGAAGAGGGCACTTGAAAATTAAACCAAAACTTGAACATTTGAATACAATGTTTTATAGCATTTTTAAAGTGATAAACGGTAACACAGTCACCTAATATGTCATGTGTTAGCAATGAATACCTCATAGGAGTGTAATACCACCTCAAAGCTTCATTAAAAACATGTGCAAAGCGTCCGTCTTCAAGTTTACATAACAGAGATGCTCCTATGTCATTCAGTCAAGGTGCAACGAGACTTTGGAGTGAGGTAGGGATATTGCTCCATTAGCAGTAAAAGTTATCAAGAAATGTGGCTTGAACTGTGTGTCTGTCCTGACCTACCTTGAGACTCTTGGAACATAGTTTGATCACAATAAAATAGAGTTAAAAGGTGAGTTTTCTTTTCACTTTTTACGTGCAGTGATAGTTGTGGGTATATTTGGTCCGAGCACAGTGCTTCCTCTCCTTCCCATTTCAGTATAGTCGCTTCTCGTAACTAAAGTTGGAAAAAAAAAAACTACCATTATGACTCTTATGACAATTATGGCTATTATGATTTTAAAAGAAAATTATAAACAGACATACTTACATGGCACATAAGAATATCTAGTAAGTTAGCATGAAGAAGACAAGGAAGAGAGAGGACAATGTGATATGGCTAATTGCTCATAGACTACAAAGAAGGACTGGAAGTGGAATAGTTATGAAATAACTGAAAATGTATAACGTACAAATAAAGGTTTGGTGACATAGAATGGGAAGTTACAATGACACATATATTTACACATAATTACATAACAGCCTAAAGGTTCCACTTACGAGTGAAGGCCGTGGACCCCCCCCTCCATCTGTGCCGACATGGTTCTCTTCTCAAACTTCAGTTCTCCGGAGTACATCATTGACCTAACAATAATATTGCACACTTTTATAGAAATTTGAAAAAAGGTTGGACAAGAGACATAGCATCATTATTTGGAAAAAGTCATTAAAATATGCATTCTAGATTTGTCCTAGCAGCAATTTAATTAAGTATTCAGGCTGTGTGATTTGGGAAAAAAAGAAATTGCAATTTTTCAGACAAGCATTTATGTTTTGATTAGTATTTTGTTTGGTACAGATCTAAACTATAGGATTAGCAGTTGTTTTGCAGAATAATACAGGATATTTTGTTGTTTGTGGAGGAAATTATGGTGGCCATTCAAGTTATATTGATAAGATTGCGGTTCAGCTTTGGTGCTTTTTTACTTACACAGTAGTATTCTTATTGTGCCATCTGTTTTAGCTGCGTACCTACCGTAATATTGACAAACTCTTTGCTCCTATGTCCTGGCAGCCATGTTGGATGCCAGCGATGAGGTAGGGAACAAACTTATGGATGGAACCTTTATCTTGTACTGAGCCGGACACCCCTTGAGCTACTTTGACCTTATCTCCTTCACTAAAAACACAACATAAGCATTACATTACTCTATTAAATTAAAGGAGCACTATGTAACTTTTCTGGAGGAGGGACTGACACTTGTTTATGCTTTGCTTGAAATGTTCAATCAATTAATTTTTTGCTGTATAAAGTTGATAAAATATAAAAACATGCCTTTTTACGGTTTTGCAAACACCACAGACCTAACCCTTGGCCTGGTGGTGTCACTTGCTTGTTTCCATGGAAATAGCTAATTTAATTACCATACTGTGGACCATTCCAGGCAACATAATAATATCTCCTCTAAGAGAAAAGTTACATAGTGCATATTGTTGTAATATTGCATAGTTTTCACCTGAAATAACGCTTCTGGCTGTTGTTTTTCTCCATGGCGTCCAAAGAGCCCATCCCACGGTATTTCTTCAACCGCACGCCATCTGAAAAGAAGTACTCTCCTGGGGCTTCAGTTGTAGCCGCGAGCAAGGATCCCATCATCACTACAAAATATAAAGTTTGTGTGCTATACAGTAAAATTCACAATAAAAAATAAGATTTGAATTAAACCAATTTACCAATAAAATATGGTATATAATGTAAGCAAATGTAAAGTCCAAAGGAAACATAAATGAAATACCCAAATATCACTACTAAACCTTAATGACTATGTTGTTCAATTAAAAACAATTAAAAAACAGTTTGATAGAACCAATATGGCCTCAACTGCCCCGATATCCATACGTAATCTCAGCTGTTTGCTCTTTGTGACAATAGTTGGCAAAAATGATTTTGCTTATATTTCATTTAGTTAAAATAGCAATTTCTCTTCTAACAATTAACTTAACTCTAAAATTACATTGTGAAACAATGCACATTTTAAGTGCATTAGCTGAACAGCAACTGTATTATAATTTCATTACTATTGTAATAGTTGCATACCTGTAGATGCACCAAGAGCCAAAGCTTTCACCACATGCCCCACCGTTTGTATCCCACCGTCTGCAATCACAGGCACCCCAAAGCGTCGCGCATATTCTGCTACTTTGTAGACGGAGGTTCCCTGAGGTCGGCCGCATGCCATTACTGCAAAGGACAAGTATGTTTACATGGCCAGTCAAAATCTTATCCCTAGAATAATCAGAGAACCCAATAATTAGATCAAAGTCCAGAGTTTATCTGTGATGCAACAAAACAGGCAAAATGCAAACAGAATGAACCAAAGCATGTGAATGAAAGAAAATACACACAAAGGTGTGTATTTGATGAGGGGACATTATAACATGGTGAAAAGATGAATAAAAAAATTCTTCAATTTTGTTTTGTTATATTAATTTGCCTTTTGTCATAACACTTTTTTCATATCACTGTTAGCTTGCTCCTACCTTCCTGAGTGATACAGATGGAGCCACAGCCCATCCCCACTCGGAGAGCATCCACTCCTGCGTCAATCAGATTTTTGGCCTGAGCAGCCGTCACCACTAGAAAAACAGAAAAAAAAGGGTGCAAAATGAGGTTATGATGTATGTGGTACAACAAAAAGTAGAAAGATAGATAGAGTGTCAATTAGAGTGGCCATCTTGTGACTGTATGAATAACCAAAAGTAAACATAATTATATTGCCTTAAATTGACCTAGTCCTAATAAGTCCTAATAATGCATGACTTCTTGGATCTAGTAGCTGGATGTCTGTTAGGTTACCATACTATTATTTCTCTAGTCTCATTATATCTCATTGATCATGGCAGTAATAGATTTATAATGAGTACCTTACCATTTCCACCCACCACCTGGAGCTCAGGGTATTTCTGTTTGATGTAGTTGATCATATTAATCTGGTAAACTGAGTTTCCCTGTGAAGAATCCTGAAATTAAAATAGAACAAAACAACAAATAGAAAGAAAAGAAAACTATTGCAATATTGTGATTATATTTGTGATTTGAAAGTGGGATTCTGTTTTTTCAAACACTAAAATATGAACTTCAGAGCATGTCAGTACTGGTCAAATAGACTAGTATACTCCCATGTACATACTAGGGGGCTTTTTTCAATAAAATTAGACAATACTTTGTTGTTTACAGCGGACATTGTATTATCTAAGCCTTAGTAATTACAGTCTTTGTGATTTCATACATGGACCTAATCAAATTGTGATTTTATTTTGATTTTGATATTGTTAAACCCTGTAAATAATAGTGGTACATAATAGTGGTTAAATCTGTGGTAACTTTTATCACCTGTCCCTGATCAAACATATAAAAGAGACCTACCAGCACGACCACATCCACCCCGGCTTGCATGAGGAGGTCCAGTCTGTACTTGTCATCCTCCCTAGTGCCAATGGCCGCCCCACACAGCAGCTGTTTCCTGGAGTCCTTAGAGGCCAGTGGATAATCTCTGTTCTTTTTCAAGTCTGTCCGGGCGATAATGGCCACCAGCTCATCACTGTCATTCACTATGGGAAGCTTGCCTAAAAAGGGTCCACCGAAAAGATGCTGTTAAATTCAACATAACAGGTTTACATGGGATAATTCTTGTGAACGGTACCTTTTTTGCTCCGCTGCAAAATGTCATTGGCTTCTTTTAATGTCACTCCAGCTGGGGCTACTACTAGATCTTCTCTTTTTGTCATTGCCTGCATCATCATGAAAATAATGATTGAGTAAATAGTCATTCGAATTAGGGCTAGGGGAAAAATAAAATATCACAGTAAAGTTACAGTATGTAACTTTCTTGAGGTGGCACGTCACCTGCATGATTCCATGGAAATAGAAAGTTAAACTTTATACTTTTTATATTATCAATAAAGATAGATGTACAAGTTTACTGTGGTAGATTATAGCCAAATAAACATTTTTATAAGGAGGTTAAGAGTCAAGTTTGTCAAGTTTGTTTTTGTGCAAAAAAGTTACATACTGTGGTTATAAATATTGACAATAAAAATACTAATAGATACAACACAAATCATACTATAAAACTTCATTAAGCTACTAACAATGCTTGTATCTGGCCAACAACTAAAAGAAGGCACTCTTTGTGATTTATCAATATTGATATGATAGTTCTTATTAGGATCAGTTGAACCAAAATACTTCAGATTATAGCAAACATTTGGGATCTCTTTGTAGTTTCCCTTTGTCGAGACTACAGAAGGTCAAACTTTGACTTTACAAATTCTGTTGCTAAACAATATTGTGATATCTATCTATTTTTGAGCTAAGGTTCAGACTTCAAGAAACCTGGATATGTCCACAAAGCTTCATAGTGTACCTTTACACAAATTAATGAATATCACAAAATATATGTCGAACATAATGCACATACTTCAGCTAGGGGTCTGTCATGGTCCTTCTCGGACAGAAAGTCTATGTCTCTGGATGTCACGATGCCAACCAATTTGCTGCCCATTTTCCCTGTCTCAGTAACTGGAATCCCAGAGAAGCCGTGTCGGACCTTGGCCTCGAAAACATCTCCCACTGTGTGGTGTGGACTCATGACCACAGGGTCTGTGATAAAGCCCTGCTCGAATTTCTGTGAAAAACAGAAGCTGAGATTTAGAAAAGAAAAGATTAGATATGTGTAATGTTTCCTTACCTTAACTTTGCGCACTTCATTGGCTTGAAACTCAGCAGTGCAGTTATGATGGATAATCCCAATTCCACCCATTAACTAAAGCAAAGTAAAAAGAAACTTTATATTATCTACATAACTGTAATTGGTACTGGTGAGGTAGGACAATGGAGGTTCAGCTGTGTGACACTCACTGCCATGGCAATGGCCATAGAAGACTCTGTCACTGTGTCCATGGGAGAGGAGATCAGAGGGGTCTTCAGGGTAATCTTCCGTGTCAGCGCAGAGGTGAGATCCTACACATGGAAATAGGAACAAGTATTTTTAAAAATGCTCTACATATCTTTTCTAGTGGAGGGCCTGTCATCTGTATGTGTCTACGAAGATGTTAATGTGTTGCCTGGAATGTTCTAAGTATGGTATTAAACTTCCATCTTCATGGAGACAAGCAGGCAGTTGATGCAACCAGTTGAACTTAAAGGTCAGGAAAGGGGACCCCACATACAGTCAGAATGCATGTTTTACAAGGTATTTTTTAACACAAAAAATTCACGCAAAATATATAATTTCAAAGTTTAATGTGAAACTGCGGCAGGGAAACCAACAACATCTTCATGGAGACTAGCTGGTTGCAGACCCTTCTCCAGAAAGTGACGTATCATCACCACACTTCATTGCAATAACATAACAGCCTACATGTGCTTAGTCACTGTGAATGCAGAATGTTCATTTGTGTGTGAGAATCAGGTGTTGCACACCTGTTGTACAACACATATGACATCAGCATGAATATAATAACCTTCCCCAAAGGAGTTCTTAAAACAATTCAAGTGAAAAACAACCTCATGCCAACAGCCTTGTTTGCAAAGCACAAGGAAACATGTAGATATAACACTAAGAATTAACCAAAGTTTGAAAATATATTGCATTCATAGTCTACCAGATAGATTAGATAGCAGTGGAAATAGAGGGATCCATTTGCTGTTGTTAACATGTGTTTCAGTTATGTACATTTTGTTTTGTTGTTCTGTCTATATAGACACATGGTGGTGATGGAAGCACAAAAACTTACCACCTCATCTGAAGTAAAGTCTATGAAGCCGGGGAGGATGAGGAAGTCACTGTAGGAGACAAGGGAGATATGATAAGAGCTAACTACGGTGCCAAAGAGACATCACACCTAAAGTTTGTCATATCTTCTTTTACTGTGAAATAAGTATCCTGCAAATGTATATTCTTTTCTCCCTGAGCTTTACTTCAATTAGTTATTTCATAATGTATTGACATTTTTTAAAATTAGTTTTACTTTTTTCTCTTTTCTAGCAATTCCTGAAAAGTGCAAGCTTATGTCCTGGTGGTTTGACATAATACAACAGTTATTCTGTATCCTCCTCCCGGTGATAAGCCCTGCATATAGCCCCCATTAAGGAAAGTAGACTGACATCTGAACACCACGCTGCATTCAACGCATCCATTCATCCTTGAAAGTCGTATTAGTCCCAATAATCCTCCATAATATCACCAGGCCCATGTGTCATCACCAATATTAATAGAAACCATTGCATAATACTGCTTCTTTATGGATATAGTAGATTCATTTGATACTGTAACAACATCATAGCTTACTTATATGTCAGGCCATCCCCAATAGCAAAGAGCTGCTGTGCTGTCAAGCCATCTTCTGGGACATAGCCAGTGCCTCCGCTTATCAGGTAATCTGCCATACTAAAAAATACATTATTAGTAAAGCAGTTCCATGTAACAGTGTTCATTTCAAACTAACAATAAGTACCATTTGCCTTTAAGAGCCATGACAAAGCAGCATCCAATTAGTGCAACAGTTGAAAGGGGAAACATGGGAGTCTGTCCTTGTTAATGGAAAGTCCTATAGAGCTGTGACGGCAGTGCGGTGGTAAGAGGATTTGGTTGTTGGCCAAGTACCTGGTAAACATGCTTGTTACGGTAATAGAGGGCACAGTCAACATACTACAAGGCTATATATATGTGAACTGAGCAGTAAATCCTGTATGGCAATTTGAATGGTGGCTATCGAATAATTGAAAAAAGTTTCAGGTACTTAGGATTTACTTGTCACAAAGGGTTCATATTGTGTGTAAAAATCTATTAAGCTCTTTTAAGATGTTTTGAAATGTATTTTATTCATGAATTAGTGCAATAGTTTAGTTTTCTATTAAATTTCAATTAGGGTGGCACAATATATCGCAAAAATGTCAATATCAAAATATGGGCTGATGCAATAATATTGCAATATTGAAGTAAGAAAATAAATCACAAAGTTCTCAATTTTATAGACATTTTATAGAAATGTGTAAAATGCACAAAAGGCAGATTTTCCTCATGATTTTCCTGACCTGGTCTCAGTTTAGTCTCAGTTAAGTTTTTAATTGGACCCAGTTTGACTAAAACATAAATGCATGCACACTTGTTTCAATTTAAATGCCGAAAAGTAGGCTATATTAAAGTATTGCAATAACATCATTATTACTATACAAAACATAGTTATTCAATATCGCATCTTTCTCTTATCATGCAGCCCTAATCTAATTCTAAAATTTCAAACTTGATTTCGGTACTAACACAGTGAACCAAATCTTGAAAATAAAACCGCAAACCTCATCTAACATTTGTCCCAAATATTGCAAGTATATATATATATATATATATATATATATATATATTTTATATATTTTATATTTATTTTTTTTTTTTTTTTTTTTTTTTTTTTTTTTTTTTTTTTTTTTTTATTATAGCTTAATTTGTCCAACCTTAACTTGTATTGTAATGGGATCTTTACTATCTTTACAGTCTTGGAAAATAAAATAACAAACCTATTTTAACATTTGTTCAAACTACTTCAAGTATTTTTTTTAATTATCCACATTTGCCCAGCCTTAAAGATTCTGTATTACACAAAATTGATTCTTGTGAGCTTTAAGCCATGTTATAATGCTATTATCTCCTCAAAAACACACGTTTGAATCATTCTGCATTATTAGGTTATTATTATTATCAAAGCTTTTGAGCTTTGGAGATGTAGACAAACCAATAATGCCCTGTTCCAACTTATGATGTCATAAAATGGTAGTGTTTAAATTACCAGTGCCTTTTACCTTCAGTTCAGTAGAGATTAGCAATTCCATGGTTGAAATAATCTATATGATTCTAGTGAAGGTGTATGGAGTGGTAACACCTGCATTACCACATGAGATCACAAGGAAGAACAGAGTATTTTCTGTTTGAGAAAAGAACTCAGCCTGAATACTAGGATTTGTGTGTTAAACATGTGTGAATGAAATAAAAGCAAAATGCCAGGTATGTTTTTGATTAGGAAACACTATTATCTGAAAATAGAGTAGTATGGGCCCTTTAACACCGGTATAGATGAGGGATTAGGGGTCATGACCTTTGCCCTCTGTCTTAGTCTGTGTACAGTACAGTGGCAGTCTGGCTAACCTCTCAGGCTCGTATCCTGCTTGAATACGCGTGGCGCTGTATCTCTGTGCGGCTGTCTCGTGGCCATGGCTGTGGGCAGGGGAATGACCAAAGGCTCCATAGGGGTGAGGCTGCTCCCCTTCGCGGTTCATGATCCTGGGTCGAGCAGGTTCCGTGTCTCCTACAATCCTCCGATAGTCAATCTGGTAGTTTTCCCTCTCTCCCTCTCCAAAGCGGTCAAAACAATGACCCTCCATTTCTTGGAAATCCAGGGTTACGAACGTCCACGGCACACCCACCAGAGCGCAATATTTCCAGTGTAAAAGTGTAGCTAAAATTCCATATGAAGAATCCCAAATGGGCAGTGCTAGAATTTCCAACACCCTCGAATGAGTAGCAATTAAAAGAAATAGACAAGTGCTTTGAGTGCACTCCTTTCAGACACACCTGACAACCCAGAAAGCTGTCCCACCATCTGTTCCTCAGCGCTCCAGTGTCCAACCATGTGAGACAGTTTCACCTTAAAAATGCAGATTTCATCACTTCAGAAATACAGTTCCATGATTTTGCACTGTTAGAATTTTAAATTGAATCCGAAATGCAATGACAGAAAATGTTAGTAATGATGCTGTATGGTCAACAATGCAAGACTAACAGTGTCACATTAGAAATGCAAATACGTCAAAAAATCTTCTTCCAATCCACACTGACAATTTAAAAGTTCAAAAGTTCAAAAATTAAAAGTTTCAGAAAACACACTCGCAATGATCTTCTTGCAGCATATCTCATACCAACAATGCAACAAGGTAAAAGTGTCACATTAGAAGTGCAAATCTGTCAAAAACAATTTCAACTCCACAATGACAATTTCAAAGTTCAAAATTTCTAAAAAGTTTTTAAAAAGTGCTGGCAATGTCCATGTCCATAGATCATATCTCATACCATGTTTAAATGTTTGTTTGAGGATGGCCTTGTTATGCAGAGTCGTCAAGTGGTGCAGCCCGGGAGATCAGACCCCAGGAGAGAAGAGAGGAGCTGGCTGCTAGCTGGTCCTCTCCTGTACTACGTGCTCAGCTTAACTCTGTTTCTGACAGTAGCTCGCGTCACTCTCCCACAAAGAGGATTGGGAGCATTAGCACAGGAGGGAGGGCAAGCAGGCAGGCAGGGTGAGGTGGGGTGGGGTGACGCCAGGAGGGTGGTAGGGCTGAGACTCGAGCTGGCACTTACACACACAGTTCCCCCCTCCAAGGATTACCATGGTGTGAAGATGCCTGCTACACTCAAGGAGCTCAGGCTCAAGGGGGGGTGAAGTTGTGCTCTCAAAATGTCCTGTCTGACAGAGTTGAGGTTTTAACACAATCAAATTAATGAAATAAAATATAGCTAGAATAGTAATAATAATACTAAAGGTGCATAGCTTTTACCAAGTTTCAGACAACAATATAATTTAAATTGCATCATCTTTCATACCTGATTAGCCACTTTTTTCTGTAGGAGAATGATTTTATTATAAGCAAGTTCTTAAAGAGACTGTACCCACATTTTTCTTTGTATCTAAGCAAAGTTTGTGTTGCATGAGCAAAGATATATTGTGTAAGCAGTTCTTGAGGTCAAAATATGTCCATTGCATGATGTCTGGATCTAATTAGAAAGTATTTTATTTTATATTTTTTTCATCTTACTTTATAATCGGGAAGTGCACATTAGTATGATAGTTGTTGTTAGCTTAACAGTCACACCAAAACTCTGCAATGGTGTCTGAGAGTTCTTAAAAGTGCTCATAAACTCATGACGGTGAATAATTATGCATAAAGTAAGTGAGGAATAACAAAATGAACTAGTTCTGTTTTTCACATAATAAGAAGGTACAAAAATCAGGCACAGCAATTTTAAAGGCTGAATGTTTGGCGTAGTGATAACTCGTAACTCTCCATCATGAAGTTGTCTATTTAGATACTGAATATCTCATATTAAGCATGCATTTATCGGTGTTTAATCAAATTTAATCTAACTATAATCTAATGAAAATAAGAGTGGGTGAGAGAAGTAAGATTGTTGCCTGGGATGCCCTCCACACTATCATCTGCAGGTGACTCACTGACTGACTGCTCCTGACAGACACTGAGGGATGCAACAGCTTTGTACCCATACACCTCTGTAATACGTAGAATAGAAATTACTCCTGTCACAATAAACACTACACAACATATCATGGATGCAATTAGCAAAACTTTCAAAGGTAAAATTTTAATGTACCATAATTTCCTTTATAATAAATACAATATCCGGTATTATTCTGCATATAAACTGCTAACTCTGTAGTTCAGAACTGTACAAACAGTATTATTTTTTTTATCAATTCTTCTTTTAGGCAAAATATGAACCTCGAACAATATCCTATTATTAAAAAATATATTTCAAATCTAATCCTAATGCTTGTCCGAAAGATCACGATCAGATATTTTCCCCAAATCATGCAGCCGCGCAAATAGCTATATGTCGTATGCTGTTTTAATAACTCAAAAATTAAAAAAACACATAAATAAATAAAAATTTTGCAAATGTATGCCCTTTTAAAAGGTAACACTAGCTTGATTTGGAGATTCATTTTGAATGGCCTGGCTGACTCTCTGAAAGAAAAGACATAAATATTACAATCTAATATCTATATACATTGGATATATTTGCCAAAGTGTGAGTAGAGATTGTACCCAGGTCCTCCATCAGATAGGGCTCATGTTTCTTCAGGGCGTCGTAGAAGGCTGCGCTCACCTTCTCACCACCCGAAGTTAATGTGGCACAGTAGAGCACTCGGAGTCTGTCCTCATTGGTCTCTTTGGCTCGGATCTTGCTGTAGGTCTCTTTGTGCACCATGTCTCCCAGTTCTTCTGCTATGGCTAGGACATGCGACACTCTTTGGATGAGGGCAGGTCTGTGGTGATCAACAAACTTGGCTAGGATTCAAAAGAAAAAGCAGAACTTTTATTTTTCTAATTGGTGTTTTTTATAAATTCTACAGCAATAACATAAATTCACAAATGCTGAACCTGATTATTTTGATTGACTAGATCCAAGAACCAACTGATACCTTACTGTAACATCACGCTGGAGGGGTTCTATGTGTATGTATGGTTCAGTGTTTAGCAGTTACGGTAGTGACACAATGCACACATTAGCAATAACTACCAAAAGGTTTTAAGAAGATAAAATACAAAATGGATTTTAACAATACATTTTCAGGAGCCTGTGATCATTACAAGTGTTCATGGTCCAGTTGAAGTGTTTGACTTTCAACAAGGTGAGAGTGATTAACTGAATATGTAACTGGGAGTTAATGTTAGCTAACTTGTGACTATAATGTTGTTTGAAAGAGACTTGCTTAACAGGACAAATCAGATCATGTAGTTCTAGCCAAGGCAGTTATTTATGGTCAGATTGTGTTCAAATAAAACTCAGATTAAAGTCTAATTTGAGTAACAGAGCTCTAGACAGAACCTTCAGTTAACATCACATCCCCAGAGAATGTAACAATGACATCAGGTGTAAAATATTAACATAAAATTTAACCACATTGCCACATATTTAGAAGATCTTTAATATCTGGGGGTAATGATGCATGCACCGAACATTCTGCACTTGGTTGCTTTTGATGGCTATCAAAAATAAAGTTCTCATATATTTCTATCGAACTAATGGATTGGTTATTACATTTTCAGTAATACACTTTACATATCTAAGACTAAGGATCATTTTGATTGCCACATGTCCTGCTGATTGATTAGTCAACTAGGAAGAAGGTATGGCAGAATTCCTCAAAACTATTACACATTACTCTGTGTAAGACTACACCTGCATGGTAGTTCATGCAAAAGTAGAATTATATTGTATATGCAGAAAAAAGTACTAGGAAACAATGTATTTATATAAAGACAGATTAAACTTGTGAATCATGAGTTTAAGAGTTTATGTCTTATTACATATGAATAACAAAAAATACCAAATCTTCAGCTAACTCACTCACTAGCTTCTCCTTTCTGCTGTTGGTCTAAATGGTCAACTGATACAAATTTGAATTGACTAAATAACAAAGGCCTACAGCTCTAATTTTATGTTTAAAGAGTAAAAATAACCTGAAAAGTGTAAATAAAATTCAAATGAATGCAGATCAGCTGATCTAATCGTAAAAGTTAGTAGGTTTATTTTGATAATTGTTGTGTCTCTGAAAGTATGTGTGTGTTTCCATACCTTTTTCTTTTCTTGTCATTGTTTTATCAGATATATTCAAGGAGGCCTGAGGTAAACAGCATACATTTAAAAATGTTTGATATTTTGACATTTGACATAGTTAATCATCAAGTGTACATACTAACTGACCAGTTTCACTTCAATGACTGATGCTTGGTCCACAACATCATTTATTTTAGCTGCCCCTTCAAAAATGTAAATAAAATACATTTTAGCAATACTATTTTAGCAAAGGTGTTAGGTGATTATGTCAGTACCTTGGTGATTTGGTGAGTCCTACAAAAAAAAAAAAAATGCACACGCACAATCAAAATACAATTTTAAAAAGGCTGTACTTTGAAAACTGTAGTTGTGAAATATGACTACCAGTATTGTCAGGACTTCATTGACTGTCTGCTGAATGCCACTGCTGTGTCTTAAGAACAGCCTTTCAGTGATTTTAAGGCAATCTATAACAAAGTCAGTAAAATAAATACCCTAATATTACCATAATATGTAGCTACAACAAACCATCACTCTGTGCATAATATACCTTTAAAATGTGGCCTCTTGTCAGGGTTCATGTCCCAGCAGTTCTTCATGAGACCAACTACATCTGTTATTCCCTCTACCTGAAGATTTAGGAGATCTTCACATGGAGGCCTGTCTCCTTCGGGTATTCTGAGTTCTACAAGACTATACATAGCCCCTGTAAATAGACATGGATGAGATGATGTAAAAAAAAAATTATAAAATGGTACGTATATTACAGACTGGACCCTTTAAAAAATATACACAAATACACTCTAAATTCCAAAATAGAGGCAACTGGAGATAGTGGAACATAGTGCAATTTTAATGGAGAAATAATGTAATAAACCAGTTCTGGTCCTGTTCTTCCTACTATTATAATGGTCAAAAACTACAGTGTAAGTAAAACTAGATCAGCTAACACTAAAGCCCATGCTGTTTCACAGAAGTGAAGTCACCAGTGCCCTGGTTGTATAAAGACATTCACCCAATTAAGCTAATCCTTTCATAACACATTAAACTGAGCTATGACAGAAAAAGTGGCCATCTTGAAAATGGTGTCCAACTCTTGATTTTTTGAGTGGCACACACCTTTTTCCACAAGAATGTTCCTTGAAGAATGTTTGTACCAATCTTGATGATAGCATTATCAAGCATCACCATCTTGATAAATGGTGGTGGCATCTCAACCATCAAATGGTTGTCATCTTGATTTTTTGAGGGACAAGCACCATTCTCCAAAAAAAAAAAACATTCTTAACAGAGTATTTTCACAAAATGCTACACCTACATCACAGTTTGAACGCTCAACATAAGCATTTGACAGAAATAGCAGCTGTCTTGAAAAATGACCGCCAGTTTGAATTTTTGGGTGGCCAATGCCTTTTTCCCAAAAAGTGACCCTTAGAGAGTATCTGTGAAAATTTCATGCTTTTATTCCAAAGTGAACGATTCTCTTTAAATATGCAAATAATCTGCTGCACTAATAGAAGTGAACTATGTAAGTATCCCCCATAGCGTTTGGTTGCAACCAAATGAAGCCCATCGAGGAGAGCAGTTATAGCTGCTAATCTGCACAAAACCAAATGATAATGTAAAATAAACATTATTATGATTAATGTAGGTAACAGAAGTTGAAAATGTTTTTTTGTTAAAAAATAATTAAAACCATTAGCAGCTGGATCTGATGTCAGTTAACCATTGAAAATATTATGGTTTCGTCAGTTTGCCTCTAGTCATCTCCCTTACGGAAATGTTAACTCTGATGACATTATAAGGAGTCTGTTAACACTATATTTACCTTGATATGGTTCTTTTCCAGTAAAGATAGCCCAGAGAAGAATGCCATAACTGAAGGGGACAAGTTAAGGATATTAAAAAAATTAAATATTGAATACAAAATTTAAAAATGTAGATCACATTACCTGTACGTGTCAAAAGCTCGTACTGGTTTGTATAAGATTTTGAAGGCTTCTGGTGGCATGTATGCAAATGTGCCCTGAGGTCCATCTTGAAAACTTCTTTCTTTCACCACAGCACTCATGGAGACTTTAGACAAGCCAAAATCTGCTAACTGCACAAGCAACATACAGTAGAATTTAATTTGGCATCATTGGGTAATAGTTAGCATACATGTTATTATGTCAGTATTCCGCATAAACACAGATGTTGAATCTGAACATTATTTACGAATCGACTAAGGCAGGGTAAAAAAAATATTTCTTTTCATGTATGAAGAATCCCTCAGTCGTCCAGGTAGAATCCATGGTGAGGAGAAAATTCAGTTTGTCGACTGGACAAAAGTTAGTTTGGTTGAAGACGTTTCGCAGCTCATCCAAGCTGCTTCTTCAGTTCTGGTCAGAATGCTGGTGGACACTTCTTTATATCTGTCAGCAAGGAGGAGCTAACTAACTACTCTGAAAATACCACACCTACTTGTTTACAGTTTCTGTTAGTTAGTTAGGTCTATTGACCTGTACAGGTTGTCGGGTCTAATTAGAATAAAAATTCATAGCCATAATGGAGCTTCCACACTTCTGGACCTGACCTGGCTACACCTGTTGTTCTTTTGTTTGTTTTAAATTAGGTTTGAGGATGGAGTTGTAAATAGGAGATAGGTGGTGTCTGAGGCCTCCATTTCTGTTTAGAGAAGGATTCTCTAAACAGGGACTCTCAAACCAATTCTTTTCTCTGGCTAAAATATGTACCTCGCTGTCCTCAAATGAGTAGCCCATGGCTTTTAAGTGGAGATGGATGGCAGACTGAGGACCACTGCTGCTCTCTCATCTGTGTTGGCACATCTTTTTGTGAAGTAGCTGCTTAGTTTCTCCAATGTAGCGTTCACTGCAGTCTTCACTGCACTGAATGGAGTAGACCACATTGCTTTGTTTGTGGCTCGGTGTTTTGTCCTGTGGGTGGACCAGTCTCTGTCTTAAACTGTTCGTAGGTTTGAAATAGACTGGGATCTCATGTTGTCCGAAAATCCTCTGTAGTTTTTCAGAAACACCAGCTACGTCTTTTCATGTAGTTAGTTCTATGTGGATATTATGCCATTATGCCATTTACCAGAGAATTGCCCTGTGCCCAACCATGTAAATAATATTTTAAGAAGACATGATATGAACACAACCTGCCTACATTTATTGAACAGAACCATACCTTTGCATTGAGCATATCATCCAGGAGAATATTATTTGGCTTTAGATCCAGGTGCACAATGTTCTTGAGGTGGAGGAAGTTTATGGCCAGTGCAATCTGGTGGGCCAGTCGAAACGCCAGGGGCCAGGGTGGGGTTCCAGACATTTGTTTCTGCAGGGTCTCAACAGATCCCCTCTTCATGTATTCTGTTACCAGTCCCCTCTGTCCTGAAGGACCCTCAAAGATCCCATACACTCGTAGCACAAACTCATGCGATGCCAGGTCCATGAAGCGAGCCTCTTTGAACATGTGACTAGATGTTGGAAAAAACAAAATCAAGATAAAAAATTTAGTTTGCAAACAGTGTTTAAATTGGTTAAAAAGCTTCCCTGTGTTTTGGGATTAGTAATGATTCCAGTTTAGTACAGACGTTGGGTTCTGTAATCACATTATAATTGTTTAATTGTTATAATGTGTCTGGTTAGTTATATGGAATTCATAAATTGTATATTAAAAAGTTTAACACTACACCATAATAATAATAATAATAATAATAATAATAATAATAATAATGCATGGGGGGGTTACTTCTATAGAGTATTAACTGCTAATACATAGCATATTTAGATCAAGGTGTTACCCATAAAAATGTTTTATAACATGTAACATGTTTTAAGTGTCCCTTTTGTTTTTGACATTCTGAGCCTCCCCTCCCTTTGCTCCCCACGCTATCACTACACAATCAGGGAGAAGCTCATTGTCCTATTGTACAATTTTACATTCCAAATGTCAGATCCATTGCTGTGGCACTCATCCATGGAAGTATAATAAGGCTAATCTCATGGGACTTGCTAAATTTAAATAATACTCATTATATCCTAATTTTGGCAAAACATAACAATCCCTACCTGGTATTTTGCTTGAATATTTTGACAGCCACATCGAAGCCCCAGTCTTTGTGCCGGGCCTTGTACACCCATCCAAAGCCGCCCCTGCCCACCTCGTGCCAGTCTTCCACCGGCACCAGGTTCTCTGCCCGCACCACAGTCTCTTGGGAAGGGGACAGCGCCATCTTTGTTATCTGTTATTTCCACTGCTTGAGGAGGTCTTCTTCAGGAATTATAAATTGTGCAGGACTATAATGAGCGCCTGTAAAGAGACAAAATACCAGATTTTGTGCGTGATTTAATGTGTTCTCTTTCCACTTACATTCACTTCAAATCAGATGTTATATCCTTTAAGCTACTCTTACTTGAGTAGAGGTTTTCCCAAAATGTTTTACTCTTGAGTAATTTCTTGGACCATCACTATGTACTTCTACTTGAGTAATATTATTTTGTCATAATTTTGTAATTACTTAATTTTATAAAGTAAGGTTACTCTTATTACAATTTTGGCTACTCTGCCCACCTCTGTACCTCTGACAAATACTTAAGGAAATATTGAGCCCAGAATCGTTTTTGTGGTTCTCCCTTTCCTCCCAGATCCAGGCTCCCTGCACGGTGAGGGAGGAGCGCCATCTTCCTCCCGGAGCGGTGAGAACAGCCGCAGGTGAGGGACTGCAACCACACAACTATAACCAAAACTTCGTCTACCGGTGCCGCACATGTGACAATAACGCACCGGTAATAGTTTGCTTTTCACAGTTTTATATCATTCCGTTATGACCGTATATATTCCTGTATATTCGAAATAAAAATAAAGTTGTGCTAGCTTGGCATTACTGAAAGAATTCCCAAGTAGTTAGCGTTGTTAGCAAAACATGAAATTGTTAGCTCAGACAGGTAAATTATGTAAATAAAAGTAAAATGTGTTATGGTACATACCGCAATATAGGCTAAACGTCAGATATTATTACGTTGTGGTTAGTTTGTAATGAACTTTCTCCAGTTTTTCACTAGTTATCTTCTTCAAAGTCCAAACTCGATGCTGTAGGCTAACGCTGTCGTATTTTCTCTCTAAATTGTAGTGAAATGGTTTGTCAGAACAGAGGGAAAGTGAAAGTGGAACTGGAACAAGTTTGTGGTAATAAAGTGTCGTCCCTGTGCCTTCTTAATCCCTCCTTCTTGAATCGGCTGTGGCTGCACACGGGCTGTACAGTGGTGAGTACGTAGTCTAAGGGTAAGTATGATGAAGTCAGGGGGCAGAACCAAAGCTGTCCACTGATACCTATTCAGTGAGTGACAGCCAAAAGAGGGTAGTACTCAGGTACATTTACTCGAGTAACTTTTTCCAGCAATTTTACTCTTTAAAGTACCTTTCTAGTAATACACTTCAGTTATATTTTTTATTGCTTGAATAAAAGTTTTGGTTACTCTTCCTTCTGCAAATAACAAAAGCTTTATGTTGACAATATGAAATGATTTGGACATTTGTGTGTCTTGCACCTCTTGATCAGATATGATTTAGTGTTTTTTTTTTTTGTTTTTGTTTTTTGTCTATCCTTTGAAAATACTAGATCTTGCATTATTTAATGTTTAATCCTTTTGTTGTTAATGTTTAATCTTTTTTAATCCTTAATTACTTGAACTTCAAATAAAAAATCAGATACTACATCCCAACTCTTGAATTACTCACTCAAGTAACTCTTTGAGTTACTCATTTTTCAGTAGTAGTTGGCCAAATGGTTTTTACTCTTAATTGTGTAATTTCATGGACCACTTCTTTGTACTTCTACTAATATACTAATATTTTGAAGTAATGTTACTCTTACTTGAGTACAATTTTTGGCTACTCTACCCACCTCTGATGATAGCAACCACAAGAACATGTTCACATGACATTGCACAACAATGTACAATCTCAAAATTAAACAATGAGGTATCTGTCAAAATTCAATAAAATCACCTCTAAAGACAACAGATTTTTACTAGGAAAGTTCCATATCTAAATCACCCAAAATAAATAGTGAAATAATAATAAATATGAAATATAACTATGAAATTAAGAGCAAACAGGTAATCTCATAAATTGTTTTATTTGTTTGTTTTGTTTCTTAATTTAGAATATTTGCATGCAAACTTCATCAAAATGATTAAAAATACATCTTAATATACTCACACAACATTGTCTGCAACCTAAAATTGATCAAAATATGCACATGCTGTGCTGTTGTACAATTTAAAAAAAAAAAAAAAATCATTTAAAAAATTATCTTTGCCTTAATACTAGAACAGATTGCATTCAATAGGTAACTCAAGTAAATGATTGCTAACTCTTTACCCACTTAAGCTGTAAAAATCACTTCTGATTAAACATAATCATGCCTTTATGGGACTGTGTTCATAGTTCATAGCTACATTTCCAAAATAAAAAAATAAACTACCCAAACAATAATTTATATGTAAGTAGGTCTAAGCCAAATAATTCCATATTTTTTGTCTCAACTATATTTTGGTCTCATATTAGACCTCTAATCTTTTTCCATTCCATGTGCATGGTCTAGATCTACTCCTATCCCCTGCTCCTTTTCTGTTGGATAGGCGCGGTCTGCTGTAGCCCCCCTGTGCTCTCCATCACTGTCTCCCCTCCCTCTTCTCCACCCACCTGGTTTTACGCACCCTGCCTCTCCAACCGGTCTCCCCACTACTGCTCCCCTCTCCTCTCACCTCTCCTAGCCTTGCTCTAAACCCTCGCATATTTGTCTTTTGTCCCATGCAAAAGACATTACCATTAGCGGACGCAAAGGTAAGAATCATCTATTCTTCAAGACAGGGGCTCGTTACTGATGCGAGCCACATTATGTTACCAACAGCAGTGGTGGCGGTAGCGGCAGCAGACACCTCCGGGAGTGAAGCTAAATGAAGGACCCACGTGCACCGATGTGCTTTGTATTGTGATGAACGCATTGGCTGACTGCAACGAGACACAAGAAGGCACCAGAGAAGGAAACGAGAAGGAGGGGGGGAGACCACTTAGCACGGCGCGTCCGAGGGGGCTTAGATAGGGTATATAGCTGCACTGTGGAGAAAAAAAAGTGGAAGTGTACACCAAAGGGATAAAGATTGGAGATTGACAGGTGGACGCTCAATTGAACAGCTATTAAAGACTGCAAACTGTCTGAGAAAGGGAAAAACGTGTTAAAAAGGACTTATCTGGATTTGGAAAATTGCTAGACTGCTACAAGATCAAGGTGTACGGAAGACATTTAACCTTTCTTTTTGGTCTTTCTATAAGAAGAATCTGCAATGGCTGTTCAACTCATTCCGGAGTCAGCAGTCTGCTTGCTCATGGTAAGGCAAAGACACAGCATGTTCTGTTTCTTTCATTCTTCCAGTATTATTTTTGCTTTGGAGCATTGATGCTTGGAATGCTCCTCCCCTTTTACTACTATAAGACGTAAAATTATGGGGCTCACTTTCACCAGACATTGCAGTTTTGTTTGAATCCTGTGTAATCTTTTTGGCTGTTGACAACTTCATGAAAGCTATAGCACATAAGAAAGAGGACCATTCTGCTGCAGCTATTCATTCAGGAATTGCAGTAACAATCTAGGACATAGGCTGGTGATGGGAATTTTGCGGTCAGTTGTCCAAAATACACATTGGATTTTAGCTATACACCATTAGGTCACTTGTGCACTAAATGTGACCTACAACTGCAGTACGTTAATTCTTATTCCATACTGTTGGCATTCTGCAGTCCCAAGGGGTGTGTGTGTGTGTGTGTGTTGGGGACAGGGGGGTACATGCATGACTGCACTACCTGCTATCTCCACCTGTCATTGCTGTCTGTTACTATGGCGATATAGGCCATGCACTCCACTTGAGGGAAAGGCGGCAGCGAAATGAGCAGGGTGAAGGAGAGACAGGAGGAATGATGGACAGGGCAAACACAGGGTAAGTGATGAAGACAGCGCTAGGAAACAAAGTAAAGAGATTTATGTCTGCAGGCAGAAGTGCACCTTAAAAAAAACCTACAAGTAGATCTAAATATTATCAGCAGTTATTGTTTCACACTGATGAAAAGTTTCAGCAAATGTATCAAAACAAAGGACATCAATATTAATGAAATGATGGCGCATTCCTTTTCATGATTTTTCTCTAAAATTTGGCAAATGATTAACTCACACACTGATAAACCATTAGGATGGCAGTGCCAGACTAGTCTTAAGTACTGCTATTGCCACAATTGCTCTGGGACAGAAAGGCTACCATTTTGTGTTTATATGTTTATGCCATATGGAACCCTTCACCTTTGGCAGTGACATGTAAAGCCTTAACATATTCAGAAAATACAATGAGGCAAGGTGGTGTCCCCAGAGTCTGGCTCACTTTGCATGCATTCGCATGAACATTAGCATTAGCATTAGCTTAGAGGGTGTAGTTTAACAAGTGCCCCGCTGTCAAAGCTGACAACCCCAAAACCCCTCACTGTCACCCCAGATTAGCATTCTGTCACCGAGTTAGCATGAAAAATAAGCTTACTGTTCATAATTTGACTGCAGCTTGGCTGGAAATGCAACCATTATTAATTATATTGGAGAAGTGCAAAGGAAAATTTATATCATTTAAAGTAGCTGCACTAATGGAAGCAATCTGGGTTGTGTATCTTACACTTAACAAACCACACAATTTCTTCAAGCTCTTTTAAATCAGTGGTGGTATGATACTGTTGTTTAGTTTCAGATAAGGGTAGTGAAGTATTTTGCTCAAGAACGCAAGAGCAAGAATGAAGCCACACATCTCCCTGTTAGTTTTCTGACTGACTGACTGACTGACTGCAATGTCCACCTCATCATGTTTACTATACATTTCTGAAAGTTGTATAGTAATGTCTACTGCTTTGTTATTTCTTCTGCAGCAGCACTAGCTCAGTTTTCGCACTACTTCCTGTTCAGCGCTTAAAGCCAAAGGAATGAGGTCAGAAAAGTCAAGATGAACATGTGCAGTGTTTAGGTTTGTTTGAACTTGCTCTAACAGGTTGTTGTGATTGATGTAGAATAAGTGATGCCAGCCCTTGGTGCATGACATTTGTATTCACGATGGCTTGCTCAGAGCAGAACCTATCTCCATTATTAATGAGTTTACCCAGGGCATGTGTGTGTTTGCTGTGACTGGGATTAATATTGATCACGCTTCCTGCCTATGTGCCTATTAATATTTTAGCTTCATAAGTGATTATCTCCACCAGTTATTACACAAGCTGCTCATTATGATTTGCCTTACGCTGCGAATAATCAGCAAAAGTCAAGCACATTTATTTAAAATTATTTGCATGACCAAGTTTGGTGCATATCTTTTCTTTTGACATAATAATAATCTAATAATAATAATAATAATAATAATAATAATGATTTTAATGTTTCCCTATTTTGTTTTAGGCTCATATAGAATATATAGCCATATAGTTTTTGTCTGTCAAATATATAATTAAAGTTTTGTCTTAACAACTATAGATGACCGTTCACCAAAAAGGATTTATAAACCCCATAGGAAAGCATTTCAAGACGATTACATCATGTGAGACTGACTAACACAATTACCAAGTCTGCAAACTTGCTAACAGTGAATACCCATTAATAGTGTTATTTACATTCGCCATGGCAACCCAGTACGAGACACGTTGACCCCAAAACAGTGCGGCTTGTGTCCATGTCTCCTTGCTCTCGTCCTTATTGCCACTCATTCAATTATCCTGTTGCTAAAGATGGAGACCAGATGACTAAGATGCAGCCAGTAGATTCATTCAGCCCTAATCGAATCACTGGCCTATGACGTGATGCACTGCTCTGTGTACACTGGTCTTGATTGTAATGTCAATATCTCATTTTTTAGTTTATATTGTGGCTCTTTATTGTTTCCATACACAAGGTTAAGTTGCGCAGTGTGCCCCATACATTATTGTATGCATACGCAGTCATTTTTTATCTGATGTACACAGCGTGGACAATAGCGGGTAGTGGAGTGTGGTGGGGGAGGGTTAGCAGCATGACATCATAGTCAGATAATTGATTACAATGACAGACAGGGGAAAAATATACAGTAGCAGGGATGCCTGTGTGAATTTGCCAGAGTTGTGTGGGGGCAAGAGGAAATACAGTTATAAAGCTATGATAGTAGATGTACCAAAGGAAGG